TCAAGTGACTTATCAAGGAAAAGATAAACTTTTTCCTTAAAGAAAGAAAAGCTAAAAGGAATCTGAGTTCCTGTACACTCCAGGTTCTATTACATGTTGATTTGGTAACCTTGCCCTGGGACTGACTGATTCCTTGAGTTACCAGGTATAAACAAACAAATCAACGCCCTGAATTTATTATCACAACACTTGAACTGTTATTTTGTTGGGGTTTTTTTATCAAAATCTTACAGTTGTGGCTTTAACCATGGATATTTGACAAAAAAAGGTGAAAGATGAATCCAGTTTCACATCATATTTAAAAAATAAAAAAATAAAATCAGGAATGAAGGAAAATATAGCCTACAAGATGCTAATTGAGTCTTAATGCAAATTTCCACCATAACTTAGCACTGAATTTATGTCCTGAAGAAAGTATATTTTCATAACTGGACCCCTGGCTTGCATAAATCCAGGAAATTCACTGTGAGTCTCCTGACCCACTCAAGCAAGCCGTAAAAAAAACCATAACAAATCTAAATAAAAGTCACGGAAAGCTTTCATTTGGGAGTTGCAAACCTGAAAGTTTGTATTTGAAAGAGACTCTCACACCTACTTGACAGATCTTGCCAAGTAATCCTGTGCGGCCACAGAAGGCTATTTAAGGTTAGATTGGTAAGAAAAATACAGCGCAAAGACGTGTTTTGCTAAGATGACTGAAATAGTGAGATGAAGTGATTTGGATGAGGTCAGTCTCTAAGAGTTTAGAGAGGATTACAAACAGTTACTGGCCCTCAATCTGCTGCTGTAATTACTGAGCCACTTGAGTTCTTTGGAGAACAACTCAGGTATTGGTGTTACTGCTCTTGGAATTCACAGTAATAAATTGAAACATATAGTTCCCTGGATTCTGTTTAATGGGAGGTGAAAGTGTCCCATCTCGAAAGTGCAGAACAGTTTCATGTTTACCAAAAATCTGCACAGAGTTAAACCTGGGCTTTTTTGAAGCTGCACCGGCAAATGAAGCAATATGACTTTAAATTGTGCATCGTTAACTGTTCTTAAATAACGAAGAGCAAGAACATGCAAACAATAACAAAAAAACAGACCACAACTTAACGTTCCACTAAGCTTTTATTATAATGACCTCTGGGTCTGTTGGGCCAGAGTGACAGCTCCTAATCAGCACTTCTCAACAGGCTGCTGGTGCTCCCTTGTTTGTAATTAGCAGGGAAAGACTAAGAGGGCTTTTTAAACTCGTTTGTTTTTATTTAGATAAAGACAACAAGCCTCCTCCTCGGGGGAAAAACAGCTCCAACGCATTTACTTGCTGCAATTACTCCTTTACTTATGTGGAATTCTTGCCTGCTGGAATAGATAAAACTCACAAAACACGGATTTCCATTTTACACGGGGTTAGCAATGCACAGATTTAATTACGTTTAGTAATATAAAATGTCAATAAACAAAAGTATACAAACTACACACTTTATGCTCCAGTAGCCACTGGATTTGTAGAGTCTCTGTAGGGCAATGAGGTCATAAGCAGGAGAAAAGTTTCTAAGAGCAAGGGACTAAATACAACTTAAGCTGAAAAGAAACCTGAAAAGTGACTGCCTTTTCGTAGATAAGTGGGATAACAGTATTTGTTTCCATAAATCCATAATTACCACAAACAATGGACATAATGACCTTGTCATTCTATGCTTTTCTACAACCTCTTGGGAGTGAGATCCAGCTCCAAAGCCAAGGAATCCTGGGCTACCTTAGAGTTAGATACTGTAACACTAGGGAACGATCATGGAGCATTCTGACACTTGACAAATTGCTACTGGCTCATTAAAAACCACCACATGGATTTTACAAGTTGTAGACCGTGGTCTGTAAAACAGTGTCCCAGCGACAGCCAATTCAGCAAGGGGAAGAGAACAGGTCTGAAAAGAATGGCATGTTTTAAATAATGAATTAATTACTTTGCATTTAAGCAGAGTTTTAAGGCATAAATGGAAATTCTTAGCTGAGGAAAATGTTATGGAGTTTGTTAAAATATTTCATGTCAGCTGCCATATGTGACTGTGGAACCAGAGGGGGAAGCAGCAGCTGTTTTAACTCTTTTAAAATTTACCATGCTATGAGGGTGGAGTAACCATGTTAATGCTTAGCATTTATGATGTCTTTTACTTATTTCCAAGATGTATTCACCAACAGTCATGAGAATTATATGGATTTGTTAATTAAGTCACTGTTATCCTTATTTTAAAACAAGGGGGTTTAGCTCTGGGTATTTGGAGTGGTTAATCACACAGTGAATGCAGCAGAATCAGGATTAGAACAGGATTGTCTCGTTTCCTGTCCCTGTTTTAATCAACTTGGTATTCTTGCCTGTCTAGATCATTCTGTATTTAATTTTTAATCCCATTTCTATTGACAAAAGCCAGACTCACATTTTGATAGAATAGTGGGAGCGGTATCATTTTGATAGTAGTAGTAGTAGTGGTGTTTTATTGGCTCCCTCTGCCAAATTTTATACTATGTGCTTATTTTCCAAGCCCCTTTTTTCTTAAGACATCTATTTCTGTCCCAGTTGCTCCAAATAGGATTGTTATCCTCGCATCTACTTACAGCCTGTTGCTTGAATTTAATCTTGCATTACTTGAAGCATGTTCCTTTAAAGGCAGAATTTGCTATCAGAGGTTTCTGTGCAGTGGCTTCTGTTAGGGATGTCACATCAAATAGAATAATAAGTACAAAGTACGTGAATCTTGCAGAACAGATTAGAAATTTAACCGCTGGTTAAAACGTAAACTAAGGTTTTCTTTTGGGGCAGAATAAAATGGTACATGGATACCTGAGCCTGGACTTTCCAATAACCATCAGAAGTGCATGGTGAAACACTCCTGCTAATGAACTTTGCTCTTCTTTGTGGATATCACTCAGATCTTCACTGGCTTAGGGAATTTATGAATACTGCACAATTTAACACCATGAAATCCCTCCCTGGGACTCCTCCCTGCTGCAGGAAGTGAAAATGAGTAGAAACTAGAGCAAGCTAGGGAGACAAATAACAAGTTAGGAGGTTAGCTGAGAGCGTGAAGCTGTGCCAGGGCAGGGTTAGGTTGGATCTCAGGAGAAGGTTCTTCCCCCAGAGGGTGGTTGGCACTGAACAGGCTCCCCAGGGCAGTGGTCACAGTCCCAAGGCTGACAGAGCTCCAGGAGTGTTTGGACAAAGCTCTCAGGGACAGGGTGGGATTGTTGGGGTGTCCTGGGCAGGGCCAGGAGTTGGACCCGATGACCCTGATGGGTCCCTTCCAGCTCAGCATATTTCCACGATTCTATGCTGCAAGCATCGAACTTGCTGTGTAGCTTGGACATTAAAGCTCCACAGGACCCACCCAAGCAGAGGTTTGGCTCATGAGGTGGTGACATTTCCTCAGGGACAGGCAGCCTCGGCAGGCCCTGCTGAGCAAGGGGATTTCCTTCTTGAGGGAAGCAAGTAGTGGGAGAGACCAGACACTTGCAGCATTCTACTGCCAGCCCCAAATCTCTCCTGCAGAACACTGCCTGGAGGAGCTGATTGCCCCTGGACTTTGCAGCCTTCCCAGGTAACACTGAGCACCCTGTACATTTTGACTCTCATCGCTTACACCACGTGTTTCATTTGAGTGAGGTGGCGTTGCCCGTGACTCTGGAAGCCAAGCATGTCCTTCACACCTCCCTGTGCTCTGGCTGGGTATGGCTGGAGTGCTGGAGCTGAGCTTTATTAGAACATTCCCTCTTTCGAAAATCTCCCGTGGGCTCTGTACAAATGTTCTTCCCCACTGGGGAAGGCTTAACACAGTGAGCGGTGTTTAATGAGTACAGGGGAGCCAGACTAGCCCTGGCTGCCCTCCTTTACCATTGCTTCCAACCCTTGCACCCCAGACTTTATACAAATAGAACCTTGCTCTTGAAGAAAATGTGAACACGGTGCTGTGCTAAAGAATTGTACCAGAGGTATTTAATAGCTCAGAGCACAGGGAACAAGTGGGTAAGGCTCTCTGGAGTTGGCTGGATGAGTTACTCTTGATATCACTGTTACTCTTGATACCAAGCCCCTCAAGATTTGAATCAGACTTTGCAATTTTTTTTGTTAATCAGTAGCTGCAGATGGACAGTTACAATTAAGCCATTGCACTGTGAATGTTGTATGCTTGGCTAATCTTTTAAGGAAAGGGGAGGACAATCCCCAGATTAGGGGCTGTCTGGAGAGAACCCCCAGGAGTGAAGTCAGCAGGACTGAGCAGTAAGCAGGGGAAGGGAATTCTGGCAGGGGGAGATCAGGACCATCCACCCATTGACTGCCTACTCAGAACAGACCTCACTCAGACTGAAACGCAGAGGACTGCACCTATGGGCTAAGAAATGAGAGATGTAACTAGCAAATATGGGCTGGGATACTCATGAAATGGACTTTGTAACCAAGGAATGCCGATGCCCCTGTTGAAGGGTGTAAAGAGTGTAAAGATTTGATGGTCGCTAAGCCAGCGTTTTGTGGGAACCACCCAGCTCCCCGCTCTGCGCGGACAGGAGTAACACACATAAACCTGTCGCCTCGGTGTGCGAACCGGCGCTGCGAGCCCGCGTTCGGGACGACGCTCTGGCATTTAATACTAAAAAACAAGGCGATCAGGACCGTGAGAGAGCACCGACACCATCCCTTCCCCACGGGGATAACTCTGAGCTTCCCGGCACAAAACCCTCCCACAGAAACCCCTCACGCGCGCACGCGCGGGCCGGGCGGGCGCAGCTCTCGCGAGACTTGGGCTGGGGGCGGAGGAGATTTGAACGGCGGGAGCGGCGCCGGCGAGCAGTGAGGGCGGTGAGGGGGGAGCGGGCAGGAGGGGCTCTGCTCTCTGTCTCTGGGGCCGCCGCGGTCGTGCTGCCGGTGCCTATCCCTGTCTCTTAGGGTGGGGAAGGGGGTTTGCTGCCCTACGGCCCCCGGTGGAGCGGGGGGAGCCTGCCCTCGGTGTCCGTTTGGGCCGTACCGGGCGTGGGGGGGGGAACGGGTCCGGAGCGAGAGAGCGGAGGTGACATGGCACTAGTGACACAAAGTGCTCCCAGGGCCAGCTGCTGGCCTGCCCGGGGCTTCGTGGTGACTGGAAGATGAGGCTGTAGTGTGTTATTTCTGCGTTTTATAGATTCGTACGTATGTCTAAATAGATATAGATGTACATATTTAGCGTGTAATATGACATATAATATATACGTATCTAGCATCTCATATAGGATATAATATGTCTATGGAATATAACATTTGGTATAATAGGCTATGTTCTGTGTACAGATAGTCTCTGTAGTACTCACTAACCCAAGAAGGTGGGGTTTTTTTGTGGATTAGCCCTGAAAATGTTCTAGCTTGGGTGTGTGCAGTGTGGTAGGTGAAGGGATGGGCTTGTGTGAGTAACAGTGGAATTGTCAGGGGAATAGCTGGGAAAAGGGAGAAAAACCACCCTGCTAATTATGCCAGCGATCAGAAAACTGTGCAGGTGCTCCTGAAAGGATCAGAGCACAGGCAGCTGTTACGTGTGGCCCTTGGGAATAGCAGATTAACCAGAACTGTGAGAGAGTGGGAGAAGAAAGTCTGCCTGCCAGAAAAGTGCCTTTTTATCTCCTACTTCATTGTTTTTATTAATGAGTACTTGAATGGTTGAATAATCGAGGTGTGCAGCCCTCAGCCCGGAATCTGTCATAAAATGTGTTAATTAGCCAGAAGTGAGGAACTCTCTTGCAACTCTTAGAAATCGCTCTCCATTTATTCTAGCCTGATTTCACCTCCTGCCTGCTCACCTTGATACCTATTTAATTACTCTTAAAACGTTTTCAGGGCAGTTTACTTAGCCTCCTGTACAATATTAAATAGCAGGCAATTATTTCCTATACAACAATACGACTTTAGGAACTAAAGTACTTGGAATTAGAGTAGCTGCATCTGGAATTGGCAATGGAATGTTGAGAGTGCCTGTGCTCCAAAAGGCACACTTGCTGTTTTCCCTAATAGTCAGCAAGGAATAGGAAAATGTAAATAGGAAAGCTATTTCTCTTTTCCTTCATGCTTCAAGTATAAAATAAAAAAAACACAAGATTTTTTTTTTAATGTATATTATCTAGTAAATGGTTTTTTAAGAGCTTAAAGGTGAAACTGGAGGAGAAATGCCAAAGTGACTGAAGAATTAGGAGGGAGTGAGACAAAAATCCCTGAACGGCCCTTAAAAATTCCCTGTGTTCCAGAAGTAGGTGACCTGGGTGCAGCCTCTCTACTTGCCCCACAGGCCAATTGCAGAGCATCCCTCCTTTGGCAGCACTGCCTGCTCTGGCTGTTTCTAAACTGTCTGCCAGCTGCCTAACTGAGATTTGAATGAGATTTGCATTTATATGGGGTTTTAGGTTGTGATCTGCATGTTCATGAGGCAGCCCCGGGGTTAAGTATTAGACCAGGGGCTGCTCTGGAGGGCTGTGCTGTGGTGGCAGCTTAGGCTCAGCTGCTCTAGACGACTGTTGCTTTTATTTTCTTTTAAAGGTGGAGTGCAAGAATAAAGTCAAGAAAGACTGCAATGAGCTTCTGAAGGTGAGTTAACGTTATATTCATTTAATTTAGTAAGCTCAGAGCAATCAGATAGCTGTGTTGCCTCTATGCTGCTGTCTGATCAGAAAATAAAGCTGTTTTTAAAATTCTGTTTCTGAAAGTGAGCTAGAATTTATTCATTCTCTCCGATGGAAATACATGCCAGGAGTGGTTGCCTGTGTGCTTGCATTGCTACATCCTGCCTTAAACATTTAATTATTAAGTTGTACCTGGTCTGTCTGTCCTTGGGGGAGCATAATATTGTTGAATCTAAGTTACATGTTTGCAAAACTCCTGTCTTTCACTGGCACAAGTGTGCAAAACTAGGATTTCAGGCATTGCAGTGGTTAGATGTGAAAAAGTGAAGTTTTCAGAGCGTGGCTGGATAAAATCTCTTGGTTTGTGTTGAACCTGGAGAGCAACAAGAAGTGAGAAGAAAATGCAAAAACCAGAAATTGATAATTTCTATCTTGTGCCTCAGACTATGCCTCCACTATTTTTTTCTCTTAGTGGGATCTGGGTAAACTCTCCAAGGAGTTTTCCATGTTGAATAAAAATTAGCAAAAAAAAACAAACAAAAATAAAAGAAGGCTGGCTATGGCAACCTTCACAAGAATAATATATGTGCCAATAAGAAATGGCAACAAATAAATTGCTTATGTGAAAGCAAGGAGTTAGATCTCCAACAAAGAATTCAATCCTGAAATTACATAACAGCTATGAACCCTGGCTTTGAAAAATCAACTGCAGATTTTTTTTGTGTGTGTTTGTCTGTCACTGCTACCTCCTGCTTTCTGAGAAAACTCCTGGCATATGTTGTTCAGAAGCCAAGTTGCTTAGCATTTTCTCTCTTAATAGGATTTTTTGGCAGCATGCTGATTTAGTAGATTTGGGAGCAAGCAGTCACACAAGCTTATGGTGTTAATTTGACTTGATTTTTATTTGTTTGGTTGTTTTTCTAAATATTTGGTTTGTTGGGTTTACTTTGACTAACTTTTTGCAAAACTCACCTCGTGTCTTTTGTACATTAACAAACAGGTTGCCTGCAGCAAAATTTTAAAGTAACAAACAGCAATGCAAGACTCCCCTTAAATAAATGCAAATCCCTGTGTTAAAATTCCCTACATTTTAACAGGGGGTTCTATTTTTGACTCTTCCCTTGAACTGCCTTTATCTGTGTCTATATCCCACCTAATGTTATTAGGAGTGAACTGTCCTGCTAATGCAGCTGCCCACGTGAATCTTAAGTGTTATTTGTGTACACAAGTGGTGCTATACTTGGTGGGGCTTGATTTGGGATACATAAGAAAATGTTGTCAGCCATGTGCATGGATGTTTTTATAAGATTATTCCTTGGCCCACTCCTGGCCTTGGCAAGAGAGCTCTGGACCAGATTAGTTCTGGTTCTGGGGGGTGAGGAAACCAGGTATTCAGGAGTGCTTTTGCTGCATGCTATTAGTTAAGATGCAATACAGAATAAGACATTTACCAAATTCATGAAGAAATAGCTATTATTTTACTGTTCATGGGTCTGTTTGTTTGTGAGCTGTCTTGGTTTTGGTTGCCTTTTTTTTTTTGTCTTCGTGCAAAAAATATATCCTGGTTAAGAAAGGAAATCCAGTAGCTTTTCCCCTTAACTACTGTAACTTACTGCAGTGTATTCTTTAACAATTTTGTCTTTGCAGTGTTGAAGTGACAAAAGGAAGGAAAATGGAGACAGAAACCATTTTAAGTCTTAAACAGCAACTCAGGGAGGCAGAGAATGAGAGAAGAAAGGCAGCAGAATATGGTTTGGATTTGCTGGAGTCCCAAAATGAAATCCAAAATCAGTTGGATCAAACACGCCGTGAACTGACTGAGAAAACTGAGGTGATGACTGTTCAAAACTCAACTTTGTTTTATTTTAGCTATTTTCTGCTGGCACAGGTGTTTTAAATGCCTTGTAGAGTCTACATTGATTTTAATAAGCCTCTAAGAACTTGTAGAGAGGGCTTTTTTTTCCCCTGCTTTAAGACATTGAGCATAATTGTATCGAAGTGAGACAGGGTTTTTCATAGCTAATTATGCATCAAGTGTTCTGTACCAGGTAGGACTAATTACCTTTAATGTCAAATGAATGCTTAATGCTAAAGTGAGTTTGTTTCAGAGCATGTGTTTTGCCTCTGTTCAGCAACTCATTCGTGTGTGCTCTCCTGTAAACTTTACATCATCTAAAGCTGTGAGAAGAACACTAGCAGCAAGACTAAAATTGATTTCTTTTGCGTGAAGCTTCCACATTTTTCAAGTACTCAGGGGTCCTGAACTTATTTGTAAATTTATTTGCAGCTCAGAAAAAAGAGTAGTACAGTGCTGAAATATAGAGATATTATTTAGTTGACTGTTTTTTTTCTTACTAATTGTTCAAGGAAATGACAATCAGGAAAAACCTCTTCCACTTTTCATCAAGACTTTAATTTTCAAGTTAGCTTTTGGGCAGCCCATGTTTCATATCAACCATTTGTCTTCATTTATTCTGTTTCTGGGTGTGCATCCATCCCTTCTCCTGGGGCAGAGATAAAATGTGTGTATTTTTTGGTATGTGTGTGTTTTTTCATGCCAGCTGGATGGCTGTAGCACTCTGCTATTCTGAAAGAGCAGAATTTCTCCTTTTGGTGGGTTTACCACTGGAAAGCTTTGTGTGAGAGGCACTGAAAGCACAAGTGATAAGGAAGGCAGGGCAGGATGATCCCTTCCTGCTGACAGCCCTGTGCTGTCAAGCTGCACCCATGGGTTGTAATCCTGTGTCAGAAGCTGGAGCCAAGAGCTTGTGTGACCCAGATCAATGAGTGACTCTGATGCCAAGGGCAGAGGGAAGGAACTGTGGGCTTTCACACAGTGGGAGAACATCTTGTATGGCAACTGTGGTTATCCAACAGGTTGTTTTGAGTCTCTGGCTCTCCTCTTTGGAACCTGAGAGCCAAAGCACTTCCTGGGAACACAAATAAGTTCTTTCAGAACTTTCTTTCAGAAACATCTGTGTGCTCTTCTGTACAAGTGTGTGGACATAATCTGCTAAAATTTTGTCATTCTGAGGTGTGGCCAGAAGTGCACTCCCAAATCTGTCCTGTGCACTGTCTTTATCTATGAGTTAAAGCTCTTCTCCTGTTGTATTTGAGAGCTAAACCTGTCCTTGATAAGCTGTGTCTGGGCCACAGAGGTCAATGTGATCCCTGACAGCTTTTAATTTTGCTCTGTTCCCTTTTTTAATTCTAGTGTGTGTTTTAAGAGTTCATTTATTTCGAAAAGAAAATATCCTGCATCTTTAGACTGGTTTGGCTTTGTTATTACCATTTCTGCTTTCAACACTCTCCTCTTTTTATTTTTTTTCTTCTCCTTAATTGCTGGCTGAATGGAAGTGTCCTTTATAATTAACCAACATGCAATCAGGCAGGGAGGGAAGCTGTTTAAAAAATCCTTCTTCAGTCTGGAAGGGTTGATGGGATTTATTACAAAACTGCAGACAATTTAGCTGTCTTTAAAAACCATTGCACTCAGCTGTTCTGCATTGAGGGAACACTTGATGGACTGCAACAACTTTTAAGATAACTGGGTTCCATGGTGGTAGAAAGTGCATGTAAGCTCTTGCTACATTTCTTTGTGCCACTTGCAGAAAAGGTGCCACACATTTCATGTTGTGTGCAAAGAAATACACAGCTCTGTGAAGAAGAGAATATTGCACAATAATAAATCATAATTTTAGAGCAGTTTTAAAATTTTTTTTAAAATATGAATATTCTCTAATTAGAACTCCATGAGCTACAAATATCTCAGTTCTGAGTCTGTACTTTTTCATAAATGCCTAGGGAACAATGTGCTATTACATCTAGATTTATTAGTGTGATCTCTCTTTCAGATATTTGAACAAGAGAAGTACACCCTTCAGAGGGAAATTGAACTCAAGAATAGAATGTTGGAAAGTTTGCATTTTGAGTGTGATTCCCTTAAGCAGCAGCAGAACATGCAACTGGAAAAACAGAAGGAACAACTGACCAGAGCCTATGGACAAGAAATCAACGACCTTAGAAACAAGGTTTGACAACTCATATGTAGCTAAAAGGTTGTTAGTAGCGTTTTAGGTACTATAAATTTAACTTATAACTGCTCTCCTTATTAGCAAAATAAATAATAAATAGTTACAATGTGTAGGTTTATTTTTGTGTTTCTAATCTGTAACTGGGATAGTCAGAAGTATTGTGCTTTTCAAGAATTCATTATAAAATGATACTACTTGGTTGTCATCTGTTTTTCAGTTGGAGAACCTGAAAGCAGAACTTGATGAAACCCGACTGTCAGAGAAACAGCTGAGACACAAAGTGGAGCATCAGAAGGAAATAATTGCTGCCAAATCAGAAGAACTGCATATGATGTCTGAACGTGTCCATGAGACCATGTCCTCAGAAATGCTCAGCCTTCAGATAGAGCTCACTGACCTAGAGAGTGTGAAGGTGTGTGAGTAGCACTATGAACCATTAGGAATGTAGGCTAATTGAAGAGCAAACTTTGCTCTTATTTAATTGTTAGATGTGTTATGTGGGTTGACTTATATTCAGACAATGTACACAGCTAAAGAAAATAACAGCTTGCTTTTCTCCCAGTTGTTTTAAATACTATTTATTTCATACTTTTTTGTTTAGGCCAGTGTTGAAGAGAAGCTGAATGAGATTCAGTACAGTAAAGAACAACTAGAACTCATGAACAGTAACTTACAGAACCAGCTGGAGCGACTGCACGCAGAAAAGGAGGAGAGGGAGAAAGAAATTGTTTCTTACTGTAATGCATTAGAGGTATTCTCCTAACTTTGTATGACTTTGGTAGATGAGCCCCAGATAGCACAAGTTGTGGTGCCAGCTCTTTGGTGGAACTGGAGCTGTGGGGAGTTCTGAGGAGGGAGGGGAAAGACAAGGCTGCTGGTGTTTGGTGTTGCCCGTTGGTAAATCCTCTGCCTTGGGGTTGTTTTGTGGCAGGCTGTGCTGCACAGCACTGTTCTGCCTCTCAGTGACCATCCCACAGCTCACTGGCACAATTCTCGTTTTTATTTCAAGTTTCTTGGAAAATCTTGTGTTGGAGAGTGGGGGCTTTGTGACTGACTCACACAGCAAGGCCTGTGGTCTCCATACCATTAATCCAGTTGACAAACATCAGACCCTTGAAGGTTTTCAGTTGTGTTCTTGCCATGAAGAACAGTGGAATAGTAAGCCTTTTAGTGAAATGGAATTAACTTGTCTTAGTGACTAGAACTGTATGTACATTCAAGTACTGCAGTACAATATAATCTGTGCTAAAGCATAGGAAATTAGAGATAAAACTATCTGATTAAATTCATGTATGGAGAGCATCAGATGCCTGAATGATCAATATCCTCTCTTCTTTAATCTAGAAAACTCGTGAAGCCAATCAGGAGCTTCAGGTTCAGCTGGATCGTGTAGTGCAACAGTCTTTGGACCCTACAAGTAAAGGCAATTCTCTCTTTGCTGAGGTACAATTATGCCATAGATGCCTGAGAAGAAAATATTTAAGTTTTCTTTCTTATATTGTATTGAAAATATTAGAGTATTTGCACCTGATCTGGCCAGCACATATCTCTATTCCTCAAATATGACTTCAGTGTTGATCTGACATATGGAAAATCATTTTTATGCTCTCCCAAGTTAGGGAGTTAGTAAAATTAATGAGCTCACTTAAAGTTACCTGGCTATCAAGTCAAAAGCTGTGACTGAGGGCTCATGACTGTTCTGTGTGCAGATCTTGACTTGATGTAGTTTTGTTCAGCTGGTACAAGCCTTCTTTAATGTGTAAGATGGTATGTGAAATACTAAAAGGTGCTGATAAAAACTGTCTCACAAACATGCTGAAAATGTCAGGATGTTTGAGCGTTTGGGAGGGGTTTTGAATTGGTTTTCCAGTAAGAGTTCAGCTGCTGTTAAATGCATAGGGAGGGATTTTGGTACACAGTTCATATTCTTTTGAGCTGTTCCAATGCCAATGAACAAAACTATTCTGCAGCAACACTGAAGCATATGAAATGTTACTTTATTTTGATATCAAAAGAACAAAAGAAAAACCTGTTGCACTTCAGCAGGTATAGCACTTCTATTACAGGGGTATTATCAATAGCCTGTATTTTCAGGTACTGTTGCTGCAAAAACAGTATTTGCAGACTGAACACTCATTGCTAGGCAACATGGCCATGTAAAACTCATCAGCCAAGTAAGAACAAGTGTTATAACTTCACAGTAATAACTGTTCACAATATTCTGTAGGTGGAGGACCGTAGGGCAGAAATGGAGCGACAGCTGATCAGTGTGAAAGTAAAATATCAGTCCCTCCAAAAACAGCATGCATTCACTAGAGAACAGTTGCAGAGAATGAAGGTATGACCATTACTGTAATACTCCAGGTGTCCTTGGGCACTGCTTCAGTGCACAGCCTGGGGGATTTGTTACCTTGAAAATATGGTGCAGTTGTCTGGGGGGAGGGAAATGGGAGAAAAAACAAGTGAGATGGTGTTGTGCTGTTTGACTCCCACGGTACATCAACGTTTTGGTTTTGCTTCTCCTTCATCCTGGACCTCCACGTTGCACTGAAGGCACCATGTTTGCTTGCTCTGGCAGTAGTTGTTTAATGGATAGAAGTAAAACACAACTCCTGTCAGTCAAGCTACCGTTCAGTTTGTCTTGATAATTGTTTGTTCTTGCCTAATTTTTGTACTACATGAACCACATATTTGTGCATTGACTGTCATTGTCAGGAATGAATGTTGAGACAAGGACAGGCTTTTACTCCCATCACACTGTGGGTTTTGATTTTGGTTTTTTCCCCTCAGGGTTGCTTTCTTGTCTTTGCCCCCTTTTTTTCTCTGCTTTTCTCTATTTTTGATGTAAGAATAAGTCATAGCTTTTGCCATACCTATTTAATTTAGACTACACTGTTATAGGATGGGAGACTGTTGGTTAATGTTGAGGACTTGTTGGCAGAAGCTTATTTACAAGATAATGGCAGAGCTGCCAACTGTTTTCGTGTTGGTCTTCTGATTGTTTTCCATTGCTGAAATGGATCCTTTCATTTTGATCAAACACTTGGTCATGAAGTTTGAGGAGAGGGCTTAAAAACCTAGAGTGATGATCAGAAGTTGCACTGGAAGTACAGGTTTGTGTTCCCCAGCTTTTGTGGAGTAGGTTGAAAACATTTGAAACAACATTGTTAAAGGAGAAGGCAAAAAATCTCCTGATACAGCAAAGATTTGAGTGAGCAAAGTCATTGGGTAGGATCAGTTTGTTCAGAGATTTTTCTCCTTGTAGTATGAGGCTCAGTCAGTCATACTGGTTCCATGTATGAGAAACATGCCTAATACTGAAGATTTCACCAAAAATGGAGGCAAATTGGTATCCCTGTTCTGCTACTTAATGCCTTTATTTGGAATTTCAATTTGTACTCAGAACATTTCTTCTGATATCAGCATTGGAAATAAGTAGTTTGTTAGGTCAGCTGTTCTGCTTAAGCTGCCATCCTAGATCCCTGTTAGCCCCTCTCTGCACTGTGCTGCTGTGTGTTCAAGCTCAGTCTGTGCTTATCTCCCCACTCACAGCTGCTTCCTGCAGTGGAGGTAACTGTTGTGGCAGCTTTAGTTATCAGAATGTCTCTGTGTGGTACTTGCTGGTGACTCCTGAAGATCTGAGTCCTGAGCAGAATGTCCACAGCACTCCTGTGGAAGTTTTACCACAGCCCAGAGTATCCCTTCCAGTTTCTTAATGTTCCTGTTGTTTGTTTTTATGTAGCTCAACTGCAACTTGTAATTCTGATAGCAAGAGGCCCTTGGAGTCCCAGGGGGAAGTTTAGATGTCTGTGACTGGGAACTGTAAGGATAGTTTTAGTCAGCCAGTGTTGGGGAGGGGTAAAATTTTGCCTCCCTGATGTCCTGTAGAAGCTGTGAGATAATTTCATCTTTCTTGAGCTGCAGTTTGTGTACAGATACCCTGGAGCTGATACAGGAGATTCCATAGGGTAAATGCTCTCCTCTCACTTTGTTCCTCAGTCTGTAGTCTAATTTTTTTTCCCTTGATCCTCTCCCTGTGATTTCTCCCAGTGTCCCACAGTGTTACCTTACCCATACTGACAAAAATGCCTCAGTGTTCACTGACACCCTGTGAAGTCTTTAACAGCTTGTATTTCATATTGTTTCCCCAAAACAATCAGACATTTATCTGATGTAATATCACTTGCAACTCAATGTGTTAAAACCTTTGTAGGCATGAGATTAATGTCTTAACACCATCAGAAAAATTTGCTTTAAGGGCAAAATTTTGATAAACTTCTCCTTCATAATGATAGAGGGTGTTCCACTGAAGGAGCAGAAAAGGCTGAAATTCTTGGGTTAATATTACAGAAGGCAAACAGGGTGGTGTTTATACTTCAAAATCAGAAGTGGAAAAAAAAAGGAGGGGGTTGAAATTTCTGGGTTTTCCAAGTGAGAAGTTCTCAAGATTCATTTCAGCTCTGATAAATAAGCCTGTACTGTAGTTGGGTTCTGGCTGACTGGGTGTTTGTGGTTTGAATGTGGAATGTTGTGTGTCCTTGGCACTGCATTTATAGGTTTGAGGAGGGTGTGACACTCAGGCCTGAGCTCTTCAGGGAGTTTTCAGCTCTCCTGGGAACTTTTAGTGTCACTCTATGGTGATAATTGCTAAGATTATGTTGTGAAGGCTGAATTTAAGCGTCCAGTGCACTTCTATATTCAGGATTAGAATGACAAGGCTTGTGTACCTGAACAGTTCTGGGTAAGAGGCTAAGATTTCCAGTCACTAATCCCAGTACTTGTTGTAAAGATTTATTTTTTTCCCTTTGTTCCCAGCTGCAAATGGCTACACTGCTGCAGATGAAAGGCTCTCAGACAGAATTTGATCAGCTGGAACGTTTACAGGCCATGTTAGAGCAGAAGAATGGGGAAATCGAAGATCTGCTTATGAAAGTGAGGCAACTAGAAAAATTTAAGGTATGTGGTTTGTAACTAAGTAGAAAATCATAAGTGGAAGCTAAAACATGAGAACAAGAATGATGAAAACTATCTGAAGTCTGCTTTGATTTGAAAAGGGATCTCAAAGCTACTTATACCTTTACCCAAGTTGAAAGTTGAAGAAACAATTTTTTCGTGGGTTTCCCGTGTGTATCACCCTCATATCTTAGTGATTTGTAACATTTAAATCCTATTACTTGGTCAAAGTTCACTGAGCTGTGACATCAGATTTTTCTCTTGGAAGGTGTAGCCATTTCACACTTTTACTGTGTGTACTGAGGCTCTGGCATTTTTTACTGTCTCAGCTCTATTGAATTTCCTGAATATTTATTTTCTTAAAGTGTCTTAACGTTGCAGTTGAAGCCTACTCCTCTCTAACAAAACTGATTTGTTTAATCATCCTTGTAAAGCAATTTTTTCAGTCCTCTTATGCAACTTGGTAGTATTTTGCCAGTATTATGGGAAGTGAGGAGTACCTGAGGACCCCTGTGTGCACTAGTGTAACGTTACTGATGTTTGTGTGTTTACAGGCAGTGGCAAACTGTAGCCTCTCTTAATTCTTGCACTTCTGCACTCGTTTGGCCCTTTCTTATCACAGCTTTGGAGTGTAAACTGGGGTGTATTAGCTTGTGCAGTAGGATTATGCTTTCCAGGATAGTCTCCTCTATTCTGTATTTAACCCAAGTGGTGTAAAGCCAAGCTTAACCCATTTTAGCAAGCAATTGAGGAAGCCTGGTTGTTTTACCAGTTTTGCCATTTATAAGCTTGCTCTGTATTTCTGTCTCTAGGCCATAAGTAAGTGGTGTCAGGGAACTGAATCCCTGATTCCAATAATCAACCAAAGTATCTGTCAGTGACTGACAGAGGGCTCTGAGGTCTGTAGGTCACAGTATTGAGTCTGATTGCTGCTGCTTCAGAATAAAAACCACAAAACAAAAACCCCAGTGTTACATGTTACTAGATTTATGGCATCTTTATTATGAACTAACTTCCTCACCTGAAATATTTAATTGATTTTGATTTTAACTCTTGACTGGCTTGTGTTCCTTTGGGGTCCAGCTGCTGAAATAAATGCTAGAAATAAATGCTGAAAAAAACCCATGTGTGTTAACTAAATATCCTGTGTTTTCAAGTGTAAAGCAAGTTCTGCAGTGCTATTGCAAAGCCTTCTGCAGTTGAGGTAACTTGCTTTTTTATTTTTTTTGAAGTGAATGAGAGAGAACTGTCAGTTTTAGTGCTATTTGACATTTGTAACAAACGAGGAGGTACCCAGAGCAGCTGAGTTACCTTCTGTGTATAAATCCCTGTATAATGAGGCTTCTCCATAGAAATGCATGGAAAATGCCACTTAGGGCTGAGCTAATGTGCTTCTGAAAGGTCACTGCTTGACAACCTGACATTTCTTTATTTGTCAGACTTTATATGAGAATGTGGAAGAATCCAAACCTGGGAGTAGCTCAAAAGGAGGTGACTCTGAGGATGGGTACTACGCAGATTTACTGAAAATTAAACTTGACAACTCCAAGTAAGTACTTACAGTCTGAGCCCTACAAGTTGGTTGTAGCAGGGTTGTCTTCTAGATACTTGTTTTTATTCTCCCTTTTTTGTTACTGTTTGTATGCACTGACTGTATGTACAGACATGCTCCTGGCTCTATTTTCTGATTCATTATAGGAATGAGAGTTGATTGGTTTGGAGTTCAATTTACTGTTTTCAAGGGTAGCAGCAGAACAGTTGTATCTTGTTGCTTTCTTCCACTCCTGGATACAGGAAAAATGGAGAACTTCAATAAATTAAAACTTAGTCTGTAAGGCAACTGTATGAGATTCTTAGTCTATGGGCTGTATATGTTTATTTCCCTTATCAAAGGAGATAGAGAATAACACTTAAAATGCTTTATTGGACTCTCTAGTTGTGTTCTTTGACTAGTGAATTCCAATATTCATTAATTAGCAAGTTCATGGTGTTTGGCCTCTGTTTTTAAGCCCTCAGATCCAAGTGTATAAATACAAATTTACCATGAAGTTGCTGAGTACTGAGTTGACTTTGCATCTGCTGCTTTACTTAAAGAACAAACCAAAGCAAACCAAGTCTGACTTTGTAATTTTCCTCCCACCCCAGCAAGGAAACTGAAACATTGAAAAATGAACTCTCCTTGCAAAAAATGAAGGCTTTGTATGAGAGCCAAAGGGTCCTGGAATTTGAAAGGAAACTCTTAACCAGTGAGAGGCATTTGCAGGCTTGTCAGAGTGAGAATATGAGCTTGAGAGTTATGCTGGATGAGCTGAAAATGAAATATGAACCTGAAGGTAAATACAACTTTTCCACTTGGGGAAAAAGTAAATATCTGATCTTCTGCACCTTCACAAATGGGATGACATCAGACAGGAGGACATTATCTTAGTTCCAGATGTAGACTAAGCTTTAAATGGCTACCTTTTTGATAATAATCAGGTCTAAAACCTGCTGAGCTGAAATAGAAAAGCCCCACTTTGCTCAAGAACCTCCCTTCAATGTGTCCTAATAGTGACTTCAGAAGAATAAAAAGTACAGATGAGTGTTGAGAGGCTTTATGGGGTACAGCTGGACAGCCATAGTCAAGTGGGTGGGAACAGATGCTCAGGAGGTGCTGTTCATAACAGCAGCAGCATCTTTGTGTTGATGAGAAGCCTCAGTTTTCTGAAAGCAGCTGGCAGGAGCTTTGTAATAAAGTGCAAAGCATTTAGAGGAGAAACTGTTTTTTAGTAGCTCAAGTTAACATGGCTTAAATTTTGACAACAGAGGCCCTCCTGAAAAACGGCTGATAGCTGAGTATGTGCAAAATAAGGGAGCTGGAGACTGTGCAGGAAGATAATTCTGTTTAAGCTGACAAAGGGCAGGTTTAGATTAGTTATTGTGCAAGAAATTCTTCCCTGTGAGGGTGAGGAGGCCCTGGCACAGGTTACCCAGAGAAGCTGTGGCTGCCCCATCCCTGGAAGTGTCCAAGGCCAGGTTGGACAGGGCTTGGAGCAACCTGGGCTAGTGGAAGGTGTCCCCATGGCAGGGGTGGAACCAGATGAGCTTTAAGATCCCTCCCAAACCAAACCACTCTGGGATTCTGTGCACAGGGAACCCGATGGGTGAACTGGTTTTGTTCTTTTCCATACCCAAAGGATTTGACTTTCAAATCCTAGTTGTGAAAGCTCACCTCAGCAGCCTGAGCTCAGAGCATCTGATTAAAGGTTTTGGTGAAAAGGTAGAGTGGATCATGTCTCTGTTTTCAAGCTGGCTTCTGTAGAGCTTATTAGACTATATGAAGGGATATTCTTTAAGGGATCTAAGTTGTCTATTAAGAATTATTGCAAGGTCTTTAGTCGTGTGAAATGTTTTTTTAGTTTTATTATGAACATGTTGGTGGACAAGTTAACTCTGGCTTTGCTTCTTTACAAATAGTATATTCCTTTTTTCCTTAGAATTACCTAAAGGTTCTAAAATTAAAAAGAAGAGGGAGAGGATTCCAGTGGACACTACTTGTGAATACTTGGACAGCAAAAGTACTCCAGTAAAAGAAAGTGCTCTCCCTGAAATGCCAAGTAGGGAAGGAAAAAAGGTGACTGCCAAGTACTTGGAGCAGAGTGGTGCTTCTCCCCTGAGACAGGCTTTCTCAGCATCCCCCCTCCACAGCCCCCTGCAAGCAAAAAGGAACATCATGGAACCTGAACGGGAAAGGAAGAGAGTTAAGTTTCAGGAGGAGAACCACGATGCCTTTTCTTCAAACAGCAGAAGTGCAGATAATTCCTTGACTTCTGCTGCCCTCAGGTCAGTGTCAGCTTCTGTCTCTGCTCAAGGCAATCAGCACAGACCTGCATCTCTTTTCTTTCGCTGCATGAACTTTGCTATCCAATTCTTTATCTATTTCCTGAGTGTTGCATGCCGTGTCATTCCTCAGCTCCAGCTGCCTACATTGAACTTCTCAGTACCTTTTAGGAGGACTAAAGTGGTGACTAATAAAAAAGACTCTTGAAACTGTAACTCAAATAACCTTGCCATTACTTGAAGACAGGTAGCATGTGGACAGCTCGCTCGGTTTGCTCCAACCTCAGAGACTTCTTGTTTTCTTGGTCCCTTCCAAACTGTCCCACACTCCTGTTACACCTCAAGGTAATCAAGGCAATAGGTATCATGCTTCAGTTTGATACCTGATTTCAGCCCTCATCAACTTCCAGATTTAGCTAAAAGCCTAAAAATTATTGAAGTCATTCTTAACCTCGGTGTTAACAAAACTCGCATCGGACAAGACCAGAGAGAATTAATCAGCTGTTTGTGTTGTCAGACAAATGACTTGCATAATCTGGATGCATGATAGCTGGAAAGAAAACTGCCAAATTGACATCACATTTTTGCCCTGAACTGAGAATTTAAGGTACTTTTTGCTAGATGGTAAAGTAACTGAGAACAGTCATTATCTCCAATTTTTTTATCTTGGTCAAAGGAATGCTGATTTCTATTTTCTACTCTTTCATCAAATGCTTTTTGTATTCTGTTCATAATCTTTGTAAACATGTTTGTTTGAGGGGAGAAAAAAGTCTGGGCTTGTCTAGATGCTTTGAGCTTACAACTAGCTCATGTCTGCTAGAAGAAATGACTTAGTGGGTCTAAAATGACCGCAGCTCTGAAGATGGAGGAAGGCCTAACCCATGGAAATCTGTAGGGTATAGCCAGAGCTGATGGCATTCAGAAGTAATTGGATTGATCCTTTGGCTCTTAGATCAATTACTCAAGGTTGCATGGGTGTAATTAACAGACTTAAAGTGGCCAAACATTGCAATCTTCTGAAACAGCCTTGGAAAAAAACATGGCAGGAGCAGCTGTTGGAGCAGCTGTGCCAAAATGTGCAGGGACTGTTAGTGAGGAGGGAAGATCAGGGAGGTCAGAGGTGGGTGGTGAAAGTGGAGAGGAAAGATGGGATGACTGAGTGATGGTGGTGTGTTTTGACAGTGTCTCTCCACATCCAGAACAGGTAGCGTGTAACCTGGTAGGAAAAGTTTAACTTATTTCCTCATATTCCTTGTGGAAAGGAAGATTCAGTGTCTGCTGACAGGAAGTTGTTGGAAACAGTTTATGTGAACTGAGGGGCTGAACCTACTGGAGAGGAGGTGATTATTTGAATAATCATGGAGAGGTGGGGAGTGGAAATTATTGATGGAGTTGATGTTTGAAAGCAGAGTGAGTAGAAGAAGTGGAAGAGGAAGATAAAGTCGTAGCTCAGAGGGAGGTTTCTAATCTTGCACCCATTGCTGTTGGTTCAAATAAAGAACAAAACATAAGTCAATTTCTAAAAAAATCAAAACCACCAACACAACTGAAAAATTGCCACAAGACTCCATATAAGCTGTTTTCAATGATGGTATGAGCCTGGTAAGGGCAAATCCAGGCAGGAAGTTCTGTTTGTTTCTGATGGTTTTAATGAAGTACTAAATCCCCAAGTCATGATGTTGTTAATAAAACACTGAGGGTTTACTGAACCCTGATCTGCTATGATTTGTTATGAAATAGGAAGTCATGATAAAGTCTCAGTATTTGAGAGGTTGGATTTCTAAAGACTAAAGCAATCTCTGGACTGTTCTGTGATAGATTTGGCCAAACCCTGGGCACAAGAATTATTGGCAGCTTGAGTGTGGACCTGAAAATGGAGACTTTTGTGCAGCACCTACTGCACAACTTAGTTTGCATTTAGATTTGAGGTTGTTTGCTTTAGTTTGATCTAAAGAAGAGCTTGTGTGCCTAAGAGCTTATTTGCTCCCTTAAATTATTTAGCTGGATTACATACACCAAATCTACTTCACATGCCTGCAGCCATTTGGCCCAGCAGGAGATCTGGATACTGATAATCTCTTTGGGGTTTTAGGCAAGCAGAGCTTCACCTGATGAGACAGTTCATCTGCTTTAAATGGGTAGAGCTCCAGTTATAACTCAGTTTTGGAGTCTGCCCAGTCACAGCTTGATACAGAATCATGGCATAGCTTTGGTTTTTTTTAAAGTGGAAGTGTTTAACTGGTGCCTGTTCTTTCTGATCCATCCATTTCCCTGTGCTGACACTTGAGCATCCATTGTGGTGCTCTAAGGGATGGTCTGAGCCCTCAGAGTGAGGGCTGTGGTGGGTCCCACAGCCCACCCAGCTGCTTTCACTCCCTCTCTTCCACAGGGCGAAGGAGAACATTAGATGGGAAAAGCTTGTGGGTAGAGATAAAGCTGACAGGGATCCATTGGGGCAAACCAGACTGGGGGCAGGTTAACTTGGCAATTAAAAGCAGTGGGACAATGAGAGAGAAAGAAAACTGCTGTTCCCCTATGCCCCAGCCCTTCTTCCCAGGCTCAGCTTCATTCTTGGCTTCCATATCCTCCTCACAAGAGGCACAGGGAATTTGATTTCCAGACTCGTTACATCATACACTGACACAATTGCCTGATTCTGTAAAAGGGCAGTATTTTGTATAAATCCTGTTGTGCTGCTTTGGAATGTATATTTAAGTTAATTTGGGGTTTATTTGGTCTTTTGGTTTGTTTGAGTCCTCTCTGTATTTCGTAGGCAATCCTTGCTGGTGGTTTTGGCCATTAGAGCAGTGGTTTTGATGGCCTTGGGCAGGGGTTGTTTCAAAGCAGAGGAGTGAAGGGACAAAGGAAGGGAATCTGCCACAGGACCAGATGGACAGAACCTGCCCATCCCTAATTCCTGCTCCTGGGGAAGCAGAGACTGCCCTGCAGGTGAAGTGCAAACCACAGAATGATTACTGGGAATTACTTAGGGAAGAAAAAAGCGTGTTCTGTCTTGCTACAACTTTTGACTGATTTAAAATGGGGGGCAGCCTGGGGGAAGGTGACCACAAAGAGAAGGTTGTCAGCCATCAGAATCACCTGGTGGAGCAAACACTGACCCAGGGCAGGTGCACAGCAGAACCTGTTTCTCTTTAGTGTGAGACAGTGCTTGTAGGGAATAATATGCATATTGCTTGCAATGCCTAATAGTTTGATTTTAGTTTGAATCTGTAGCTAAATTTCCCCCCAACTGTTTTGTTACAGCTCCTTTCATAGTCCTCATGTTGAGCTGCAGGTCTGTGTTGCAGATAAATCTCTTAACAACTGGGTAGCAGCTGTTTTTGTTTGGAAAACCATCATTGAAATCAGCTATCAGTGGCTGTGGTTGCTCTTGAGACCACTAGATATCCACAAGGTCACTAGAGAATTGCTTTAATGTATGTGGTGATGAAGGAGCATAGATCTGTGTTGGTATATAAAGCCATGTTTAATTTGGAACTTCATTTTCCATGGTTATTTTCGCAACAGAAGAAATTATGTCTAACTGTGGGTGATTTGATTGGGTTAAATATCGTTATTTATCAATTGTTCTACTGGCATGTTTGCATGTTAATTAAGTTAAAAATGAGATCTGAACACAATGTTTTGATTTCAGAATTACTTGTCTCTTTACCAAACACTGAGGCAGTTGCACCCCTATTTACATTCATAGCAGCATTAAAACGTGTCAGTGGGCAAATGATGCCATTTAGAGCCTGAAAATCAATTTTCCTGCAGCAACCTAAGATATTCAGGCATTAAAATAAAGGCAATAGGAGTACAGAACTAGGCTGCTCTAGTAGATTGCTCTAAGGGTGGTCTTTTTGGTGGTATAGAAGAAAGAAGCTTCACTTCAGCATATTTGTATTATGTTGCTGGCACTTTGCACTTGGAGTTGTGTTTTGGGGATTTGATCTCCTTTATGTGCATGGCACAGTCACTGCTGCTGGAAGGCTGATCCCAACCAGAAAACACACTCAGTAACCTTTTTTACCCAACATTTCAGCAGATGAGGTGTGTGGGAGGCTTTAAGTGATGAAATGTGATTAGGACTGATATAAAAATGCTTCATTTCAGTCTCATTTTCTTCTTAAGCCCTGCTTGCTCTGTCTCTGCCTATGGATGGTCTTCTGTGCCAGTTGGCTTCTTGATTCTGCCTGAAACTGTTACTTTAGTCCTGTTTTATATAAACTAAATGTGTATTTAGAATGGTTGCTTTGCCTGTAGGTTAACAGCTGAATCCACATCTGAACCTACAGAGGAAGATAAGAAAGAAAATAAAATCACGGCGGCGAAGAAAACAAAAAAGACAAAATACACAACCTTGTATGTACCTTCTAAGACAACTCCTGAAACACAGTGTGCTCAGCAGTAAAACTTACAGTTCTGGACAACTGGGAGTCCTGCTTCAGCAGGAAATACTGAGTAAACCTGTCACACACCAGTGGACAGGGTCCTGACTTAGGTATTGATCTGCCTTGTGTTCTGAAGAGCAGGAGGCTGCAAATGAAGCTGCACTTGGGGAACTTCCCAGGGCCCTGGTGGAGTTCCCTTCACTGGGACCTCAAGTGCTGCCTTGTCTGGAATCTTGGTGAGGTCTGTAAATGTGCTGTTGTGGAAGAGCAGCACTTGCTGCACTAATTTTATTGTATAGCAGGACAGGGTCAACCCTGAGCAAGACAGGCTGGGCAGGGTTGTTGATGGAGAACTCGACTAAGTCGTGTGCTCCTGAATTTCTTCCTGTTCCTGGATTCAGAATTCTTAATGTTTTTTTCCTCCTAATGTGTACCTTTTCAGTTTTCAGACTGACCTGGTTGCAATTGAATCTTTTTATGTGTTTTATTGGTCAGTATTCACTTGAAACTCTGACTTCTTGTATTTGTAATAATAATTAAAATAAAGGTTTATTTCTCTTTCTTTATAAAATGTAGTCTGTATTGCATTTGAGAAGAAACATGTATCTACTTTCTAAATGAAAGGCAAGGTCTTTTGTAGAAATTGTTTAAAAAAAATCAATAAATGCTAAGCAAGTATAATGCAGGTGCTGTGTGTTGTCATGTTTTTAGGAATGCTCTGAAGTTCCTGCAGAATAATTCTGGGGAGAGCTGTTAAGCTTATTGCATTGATTTTTTTTGAGCATTTATATGGAAATTTGAGTAGTTCCTTAGAGTCATACTGCAGTTTCAGCTCCCTGTGGTGAACAGATTAGCCACTTTCTAGGTAGAGGGTTCATAGTTAAGATGAAAGTTCTGTAGGACTTCTCCTTTTAAATCCATCATGGAAAAACAGTTCACTGGGGAACTATCTTGCCAACCCACTGGCTTGGTCCCAGTTGTGCCAGGTCAGAAGTGATGCCCTGGGGTTGTGTGAGCTGTGACTGTGCCCATGGGTGGCTTTAGCTCCTCACTCACCTCAGCCAACACTGAACTGGAAAACTGAGTCACAGCAAAGTGACTCAAGAGCTGGGAAAGTCGCTTAAATGACCACTTAAGACTCTTCCTCTCCCAGTGCAGAACTAACTCATCATCAGACCATTTCTGCACAGGGAGGTTTAGGCACAGCCTGGTGGCTGCTCCTGCTGGTGCTGAACAAAATAATCAGAAATCCATGTGTCATAGAAGCTGATTGTATCCCCATTAATCTAAGGAATTTGCTGTGCATCCAAATTCTTCAATCTGTTATTGAGTCTATGTAAGAGAATATCTTCTTGTTATCTCTTAAGATATTCCATGACATTACTGGAAGCAAATGTATATCCATCAAATAGTTCTTACTCTTCTTGGTTTTGACTGCACATATGAACTTAAATGCTGCTGTGTTGAAGAAATCCTGCTTTTCCTGCTACAAAATGTGAGAAGAAAGCATTTTTTCATGCAGATGGTGAAAGTTACCTTTGTTTGTTGTCACTGGGACACAAATAACCTAAAACAACTGCAGTTTGGTATTGTTCTATTCAAAGGAAAACCTCAGGTAAGTGAACTTTAAGAGGGAGTACTGAGCTGTAGATTGTCTAGTAAGACAATTGTATGTTGAGTTGTGTTAATTGTATATTGAGTTATAGTTAATTGTATTTTGAGCTACTTGGCATATGGCATTACTAATTTTTTTCTAAATTGAAGTAACTTGTTAATTAATGCTACAAACAAAACCCCAATCAGTGACATCCCAGTTACCTCTTACCCTCAGGAACTGCTTTACCTGCACTGCTGGAGTTTCCTTGGAGTGTGTAACATCATCTAATGCAACCTGTGTGTGCTCACGCCTCTCTTGCAGGTGGGGGAACGTGTCTGGCATTCAGGCTTTGGTTTGACCATGATATACTTAAGGTTTTGAGCCTGAGAGTCCTTCCATTGTCTTTTTTCAGTTCTGTTTTGTCACATCAGTTGCTTTTTTTTGCAGCTGCTCACAGATCTTGGCATGGACTGGAGTTTAGAGGCTGTTAAATGCAACTTCTGTGTTCTGCTCAAGTTCTTCTGCGTGATGGAAATTAGCACAGCTAAAATTGGCTAATTAAAAAGTCAGCATCTTAAAAGAGCTTGTTTTGTGGAACCAATAGCAATGTTAAAGGAAGAAAGAATTGTCTCCCTTCCTCTGCCTGTCCTCCCAGCCCCCAAAAGGGAAGCTCTACCTGTGAACTCCCTGGACAGAGAGTTTCATCTTTAGGGCAAGCAGGGAATTTTCTGCTTTCCTTAAAAGACCTTCTCTCTGAAAAAAAAGACTTTAGGAAAAAATGATGAGGTATGTGATGGTGATGAATCTGTCCACTGTTTTCTGTGGAGTATTAATGTGGAATGGTAACTACATAAATGAACCAACTTGGAATCAAAGCCTCCACTGGCAGAGGGTGTAACAATTATCCACCTTAAATGTCTAGACCAGTGTTGGAATTTGTCTTCTGGTGTAAGGACAGGATTTTAGGGTTACTGTGCATGCTTTGCTCTGGGTGCACTTTCCTCTTGCAGCTGAAAAAGGGTTTTGTTCCTCAATCCATTTCTCAGGAGTTACAGCTCGGAATTTTCCGACGCAGCCAGACAGGGTTGTCTGAGCTGGTGGAGATGAAGCAGCAGCAGGTTCTGGTTGAGGAGTTGCAAAAGCATCATCGTGAAAGTTGCAGGGGAGGAAGTAAGAGCAGATGTGTGCAATGCCCAGCGGGGCATGAGGAAGGGATGGCATGGGGGAAGCAGCGATGCCTGAGGGAGTTTGGGTCCTCTGATGGGCATTTGTGGGGAGCTGGGGTGGGACCAGGGGGGATGTGAGCTCTGCACAATCACAGCAGGGCAGCAGCAAAGTGTGGCCAACTGGATCTCAGACTGAAGGTGAAATTCCTGTGTTTTAGGTAATTTATTTTCAAAAGATCAACAGGTATTAACTGGGCTTAGTAGACCTACATGAGGAAACCTGTTTGTAAATAAGTTTGTAAATAAGCTAGAAAGGATTTCCTCAGGATTGTTGTATTACCATAAGGAAGAGAGGTGTAGAACAAGAAAATAAAAACAAGTCAACCTTTAGGCCAAACAGTAAATGGGAAGAGGGGATTTGCTGCAGCAGGGATCAGGAGCAGTAAGGAAGATAATTATCACTGGTTAGGAAGTTATTGCTCAAACCCCATAGTGTAAACTAAATGGTGAAATAGTTCAGCCTCAAGGAATTTTTTTGACAGAAGAACAATATAAAATGAATGTTCCATGGATGGGAAAGATTTAGAACCCATAGATGGAGCTTGTTTTCTGTAAATGGAGATAATGGGTGGTGCTCAGAATTTAGCCCACTTTAGTTAACATAACGTGAATTTCAATGTTATTTTAGGGGAGAGTAACAAGCTAAACCCTTTTGCTAAGCTAGTATGTAGACATGGTGAAGATTAGGGCAATTCAAGCAAATCTGGTAAAGTCTAAAGTGATTTTCCTCCAGAAATATGTATCAGAATTCCATGTGCAATGAGACAAGACTGGCAGTCTGTGCTCCACATCATTGCTAGTTAAAACCAAGAAATAGAATGTCATGTGTTATCAGAAATATCCCGAGGGATGTAGCGTGGCAGTGTTAAACAGTGATTACTAAGTTGCAATGTAATATCCAGAGGACAGGATTGTCATGTGAATTTGTTGTACTAAGCAGGAGATCAAACAAACGAACAGTAAGATCTTTGCAAGCATTTTATTTGTTTGGGTTTTTTTAAGTCTAAACTGTAAGTCAAGAAGATGAGCGAAGGTGACATACTTGCCTTCAATTCAGTTTATTGTCCTTAATCCACATTACAAAAAACTTGGGTTGATTTTTGCACATCCAGAACGTCCTTATGCGAGGTAACTCACACAGCAGCTGTAAGTTTGCCATAAATTACTTTTGGTAGTTTTGTCTGCAAAATCAGTCTTGAAGAAAACCCTGCTTTGTTCAGAGGCTAAAGAGAAAGTCTTCAGCCTTTTTTTCCTCCAAACATAAAACGACAGAAATAAGAAACGATGGGTGCGGTTCGAAATGCGGCTTTGTCTCAGGAGAGGTAGACTTGCAAAAAAAAAAAAAAAAAAACCAAACCACCAATCCTTGTTCCAGGACAGGTTAGAAGAGAGTAGGTTTTGAGATGTTTGACCTGGGAAGTCAGACCTTTCAAGGGTGGTGTTAGTGAGGTGCTGGGAGCTGAAGGGGGCCGAGGTCAGGGGTTGTCTCGCGGCGCACACACCTCGAGGTCAGGGCAGAGCGCTGCCCTGGGCTGTGCCCTGCTGATGTGTTACCGCCGGTGTCGAGCAACAGGAACACCCAGTTTGGGATTCCCCTCCCCCATGACACGGGGTACGATGTCTTGAGCTGAGAAAAGAGGAAGGAAGCTCAGAACGGCAAAGCAAATCTCGCAGCTGCCTCCGCCTGCTCCTCAGTGACAGCGCTGGGGAACGGGGCTCCTTCCAGGCCTGGTGGTCACCCATCCTCAAGGCTGCAGCCCACAAACCTGGGATTCCTTGCTGGGGGGCGTCCTTTGGAGCCTCAGGGGTTCATGTGTGATGGCAAGATGGCACAAGACGGAGAAGACTGGCGTAGGTACGTGACTGAGCTGCCGTGTGAGTTGTGTGTCTCTAACTCATGAGCAGGACGTGGGCAGGTGTTTTCTCTGCTGTGATCAATTAACTTGCTGTGATCAATTAACTGTGATCAATTTCCACCTTGCCTTGGTGGCTTCACTGGAATGATCCATTTTGTACAAAGCTTTAATCCTTCGACCAGAATGGCAAGAAGTGCACGAGTGTCAACTTTCTGACTCTCAAGTAATGCAGATCTTCCCACCTCAGTATTTTAGAACCAGGCTGAGTAAGTCATGTGTTGTTTAATGCCCAGCAGCCAGAAATTACGGAGAACAAATGTAGGGGAAGGGGAATCCTGCAGTTGCTTCTGCAAGGCTGACACTTGTGGTTAGTTTTACAGAAAAAAATCTGTATTTCAGCTGGTAAGTGGTATTTTTTGGAAGCAAAGTCATCTTCTTAATCTGAATGATGTTAACTTGTATAAAGGACTGAATTGCTAGTTAAAAAAAGCTTTAAAATTAGAAATCAGAACTAAAGCACTTAAAAGATGCATACTAGCACTGAGTTATTAATCCTCTAAATTCTTCTGAAAGACATCTTTTATTTGAAGGAGGCCATAGTGTTTTGTGATGTGCATTAAAAACAAGAAATCCATCCAAATGAGCTTCATGAAATAAAGTGAATCACCAAGGTATTAATAAGAGGAAAAGAATGTTTTCGTGTTCAACTTCCATGTGCAGCAGTAGCAGAATTGTGAAATGGAACCAGCCTGTTGTGGTGGCAGTTTATATTACAAAATGAAGGATGTGTAAATATTTTCTGTTTCAATTTTATAAACAGCAGAAAGCACTTAATTTTTGCCTTTGTAGTGGTCTCTCTGGTGTTTGGAAAGTACCCCAAACCACATGTAATAAAAACCACCTTGTGAAATATATTACTTTGTAAATTAATGCCACCCCAGCAATGTTTGTTTCCATGTCCAAAGCAGAATATAATTTAAACTCTAGAGGAGGTCACTGGGAAGAACTGACACTGGATCCTGCTGGTGTTTCTTTTGCCCCGTTCTTGCTCTCCTGCTGCTCTCACCTGTGAGCACCCAGTGATTTTAATGGAAAGAGAATCTGAACAGCCTGTCCTGTTGTGTGGTTACAGTGGTAACTTGCTCCTTCTCTGCTCACCCTGAGTCCTTTTGCTGAGGTAATGAAGGGTTGTCTGTTGAACATTGGATTGTAACACACTTTATATCTTGTATGTTAAAAATCCCAGTTGTGGCAGTGTCTGTGGTTTAGTCTGTCACGAAGCAGAATGGGGAAAATGGGAAAAATAATCAAATAGACTTTCCAGCAATATTAGAACACTAGTTATTTAAGTATTTATACATGTAACTTTTTGGTAGGTTGTCTCCAGTAGGAACATTCTGTCTCTGCTTTTGTACAATTGCTTGAAGTTCATAGATGTGTACAAATTCAATAGCCTTACATCCAGGAGTTCCTTTTCTTAGCCAAGCTGTTGGCTCACAGTTTGTTTTATTTTCCTTTATCTTGGAAATTAAATGCATTCCTTCATTATATAAGTTGGTGAGAAAAGTGGGAGAATCTTTCACCCAGAATAATTAAAATAATCAAACTAACAAACCCAAACAAGCATCTCCTGCTGCCACTGGTTGTTCTGTCCTATATCATAAATTAAATAAATTTATGCTCCTGATTTTACATGAGACTTGTTCTTAGTCTTGAAGCATTCACAGCTTAACTATATCAGCTTAAATAATTAATTAAATAATAATTAATTAAATAACTAAATAATTCTGTGGACAAGACAAGATGGAATAGTCATAGTAGAAGTGGGTTTGGACAGCAGATTCTTGATGGAAAGTGTTTGCTCTGTGGTCAGTCCTTAAGGGAAGTTACAAGCTGGTGAAATATTATGTTGGAATGCTAAATTCAAGTGTCAGATTTACTCCTGTCCTGCTGAAGCTGAAAATGGGTGTTTGTCACTTTGAAGCACAAATTGGTGGAGTAGTGGGTGACTTCTTTGCAAGTGTAGAAAAGCTCATGCTCAGCCTGAGAGTGAAGGGCTGTGGCTGTCTTGTCTGATTTCATTTGCTGGACACCTCTGAAAATTATTTTACATCTCTAAAATCTAAATAGATTGAGCTGTAAGGGAGCAGAGCTTTGTTCAGGGCAGGCTGACTCCATGAAATGCAACCCCCGAACCCACCAGGCTGTTCAGCTGCTTGGGAAACAACAAAAACTGAAATCAGATGAAGACAAAGTTGGGAAAGGAATCTTTTTATCCACGATCTTGCATGAGAAGGAAAAATCACAGTTAAATACCCTGTTCTTCATGAAGACTTTTAGGAAAAATGACTGTGCTAGTATTTAATATGAAAAGGTAAAAATTTAGAGATAATATCTTTCTACAACTAAGCTAGGCACGTTAGAACTTCCTGGTTCTTATAAGCCATGCTGGCTTTATTGTGTTTAAGAAAGAAAATAAGTAGCTCAAGTCAGCTCAAACCTCCATCTGTCCCCAAGGTTAAGCATGTGAAGAAATCTGTGTTCAATTGTTGTCTGAGATAGCAGCTTGTTACCTGAGAACTCAGGAGTTCCCCTTGGAGCACGATTTTCAATAAATGAAGTCAGCCTCCAGCCCACCCTGAGGTTTGGTACCTGTGAAATGTCCCTCAGAGCTGTGTCCATGTTCACACTTGCTCTGTGAGTTCTAAGGAGGGGGATCCTTAATTCAGAACACTGGAACATAAATTTCGTAGATATCTTTCCAGAAGTTAAGAAATCCTTTAGGGACTGCGTAATATTTTCACATAAGGATTGTCAGCGGCCTTGCTGAGTGATTTCACCCTGATTTCATGAGAAGAAAATGGTAACTGAACATAAAGAGTTGATATAGTTTATTACTCATAAAAGTGGAGCTGTAATATTTAAAAAATAGAACAGGATCCTTGCTGAGACTATTAATTAGAATTGGTTCGAATATGCAAAACATTTCATTAGTTATTACATCCAAATCATACCTAATAGTTTTTCTGTTATGGAAAAGTGAAATTAGGAGCTGCTTCAGCAATACTTTAGAAATTTTTTTCAAATTCTGTTCAAGTGGAAGGTAGCCAAGGAAACCAACGTGAAACACGGCTTTTTCCTAAAAGGTGAGTCTCAAAGTGAAACAAAGTAGTGCTTGTATTTCTTATAAAGAGCAGAGCAGGGACTGCACATGAAAGGAAAACAGGCAGCAAAGACAGGTAAGATTATTAGGATAACAAAGGGTTTCAGTGTTGCATGTCTGTGGGATTTTCCCTGCTTACCATTCCCATCTTGCAGTAGCTTAGAGGCTAATCATATAAATAGCCAGAATATGGGGTCTTAAAAGTAAGTGAATGTTGAAGAAATCTATCTTTTTGAGGAAGGAATTCTGTCACCTGGATCCCTGGGACTTTTCTGGAGTGTTTTGTGTGTGAATGTTCCCAAACAAGGCACAAAGGATGATGAGTTTTTATTTCTTTGTTCTGTCTTTTTTAAATTGAGTAGAACCTAGAATTTCAATTACAAGATGTTAACTGTTTTTTTGCTGCCTGCTGAATTTATTTTTTGATAGCAATCTTAACGGTGTGACTGTTTTGATTTGCTTTGTACCTTGGAATGTTGGGTGAAATGTTCTTTAGAGGTTTTCATTGCTCTGCTCTGGAAAAGATGCACAATCCCCGTGTGGTGCAGCGAGGCAGCTCCACAGCCACCCGTGCACTGAAGAGCATGCACACCTGTACACAGGTGGGGGAATGTGTATATCATATCCAGCAGGTCTGCCTTTAAGAGCAGAAATAGGAATTAAATGGAAACAGGAATTTTTTTCAGCCCTCATCCTCATGTTTTGCCCCTGGGATGGACACTGGGAGATGTGTTCACTCAGGCTCTGGGGGTGAGGGTGATGCTCAGTCACTGTCCTTACAGCAGGTCCTGTTTAGCTGGGCAAGAAAGGAATCTTTGGGCATTCTCCATGGACACAATGGGAATTGTTTCCATCTTCCTGAAGTACAATTCTAAGCCCACTTGTGCTTGAGCAGGGTTCAGTTTGGAAAGCTGTCCATGTCAGCAGTTTGCCCTGGTACTTCTGCTCTTCAGCTCCTCTCCCGAGGGAGCTCAGGTCTGGAATCTAAGGGAGTTTTTCACTGGGCTGTTTGCTTGTTTGTTTTCTGTCATGTGTGCTATAAAATTACCACTGAGGTTGTGGTGAGCTCTAAAAAGGCAGTTTTCATTTGCTCATCCAGGGGAAATTCGCTGTGTTCTCAGTGAAGTCCCTATTTAGGAGCACTGGATTGCAGGGAATTCTCTGTGCCTTTCTGGGACAGTCTGACAGTGTCTGTGTGCAGATTGACTGCTGATGGGAGCACCTCAGCCTGGTGCTGCCTGCTGGGGAGGGCATCTGCCAGCCAAAGCTCTCCCACTAATCTTATTGCCATGACATCAGGTGTTCCTGAGGTCAGTAATTACTGGTGGGATTTAGAGTCAATGTTTGGGTCTTTGAACAACCTTCTGTGCCTTGAGGATCCTGACTCAGGTTGTATTTATGGCTGGGATAGAGGATGCCAGGGAGGGAGAGGTAGGAAAGTTCTTCAGACAGATTTGAAAGGGCTTTTATTTCTACTGATTGGAGAGTTTGCTTTTAAAAAGTCAACAACCTGTGGTGGGTAGCCCACCAAAAAAAAAAAATCTTAATTCCCTACTGGGTGTTCATATTTTTGAGAAGCTAATGAATTAAATGTGTGTTTGTACACCATGTACACACAACCCTGAGGATCTCCACACACAGCCTCTCCACAGAGGGTGGAGGAAGGGAACCCTTCTCATGGCAGGTGAACTCTGAGGTGATCTCCCAAATATAGGAGGGTCCCACTTGGTAAGGGAAATGACATCACTTACTGCTGACAGAAAACATCACTGGATACAATACTCAAATTTTCATTCACAACTAATAATTAAAAATTAGCAGATCTGATACCTAAGGTGTAGATAAGATGCACAGATGTAGCTGATGGTATTGTCTGTTCAGAGTTCTTGCAATGGTATATGGAAGCTTATCACAATTTCTTACCACAAAATGTCTGGATAGGCTTATAACTTAAAACTTTGCAAAGGGATTTGTTAAACTCATCCCACCAAACAATCCAAGCTCTACAGTAAAACCTCTCTGGTTAAGTTTCCACTTACTCATTTAGAAAAGTCTAAGCTGATACAGCCACTTCCTTTGTCAGTTTGTTGCTGCCCTTTTCAATGCATTTGTGGCTGGTAAATGAAGCTTTTAAGGGAGCAAAACCAAAATGCAACGTAAATATATGACCAATAATTTGAATCTGTGTTTTGAGACAGCTGCAACTGAGTAGAGCAGTGCATATTTTGAAATCTAAAGCATGTGGTAGTCAACAGTAATCCCCCACATCTCCCAAACACCCCCGTGGAAATGTGTCTTTAAATGCCGTGGTAACTCAGCAGGGTTTGGCCATCTTTCACTTCTTGAAAAGAAACCACTCAGAATGTAGCTACACATGTGCTATACACACACCTACTCCTGAATTTCAATTTTGTGTGGAGCTAAGGCAGTCCTCTGAGGATCACTGAGGGAGTGTCTTCAAGATTCTCTTGAATTAATGGCTGAATCTGGACAGCAGAGCCTCAGTTCTAAAGTTATTCTTTATTTTCCCCTCCTCTTATGTTGAATTGTTCAAGCCCTGCTCTATCCACTCAGGAGGAGGAATAGCTGGGAACATCTCTTCATGTAAAAAAACCCAAAAAGAACTTATTTTTGGTCCAGTAAGCCTCTTACATCTGAGATTCCTTCTAATTTCTGTTCCAGGAATATAGCAAATGTAAAAAAACCCAGGGAACATAATTTATGGAATACATGTAAAGTGGAGAGGATCAATCTGTTTAGCTCTACCCTCCCACCTTAGGCGTTTTCCTGAAAGGCAATTTAATTGGAGCCTTTAAACATAATTCAAAGTAAAATGTTTAAATAAATGTGTCATTAGTGTACATTTTGGCCTAGCAGAGATTTAATATCCTGCTTGAGAAGCCTGGCTGGAGGGGGGAGCAAAGGGAATGGGGGAATATCCTGAAGGTGGGCTCTGCTTTATAGAGCAGTTTTTCCCTAGTCCAAAATGCTTCCAGTTTGGTTGCTGTGTGTGTGTCGATGGATTGGGACACTGCCATGAGCAAGGCAGGGAGCTCTGCTGACCAACACCTTTCCTGCAGCAGGCAGGTCCTGGTTAGTGCCAGTGGTACTGTTCCTACCTGCACTGAGTTTCAGTTACATATTTTAAGAGTTTCCTGGTGTGATTTGACTCCAATAACCACTTCTACTCTCTGATGCTACTGCTCAAGTCTATAACCAAGGCTAGGAAGAAAAAAAAAGGACAGAGGCATGTGGTTACCATAGCAGCCCACATCCTGTAGCCCTAGAACCTAAGAGCTGGCAAAGAGGCTTATTTTCTTGAATTCTCTCTGAAACTGCTGGTTCTTAACCACATACAGATAAGCTTCTGATTAGAACACTTTCAAAATCCACTGCTCCTGTGTTCTTTTCAGAGTCATACAGAGAATGCAGAGAACTGTGAAACTTTATACTCTTTCCATATGAAACAGTTTCATGTTAAATCGAAGCGTCTAAACCCAGGAAAGGATTCAGGAAATTCAGTTTCTGTAGGAACCTCTGTGCCCTTTGCCATCAGTGTAGCCATAAATTTCTGTGAACTGTGTGCTTAAATCCCTTGAACCTGTGGACAAACAATTCTCCAGCTCTGTGAATGTGTATTTATTCAAGACCTGCATCTTAAATCCTGTGCAGAGCAGGTGATGAAGAGCTTGTTCCCACGTGCCTGCTGAGTTTTCTGTGGGGTTTGTTGATTACTTTTTTGGTTTGTTTTCAGCATAGGCCATTTTCACCACCTTTTCATTCTCACAAGCAAAGAGATAAATTAACAATGACAGTGGAACTTCTTGGTAGAATTACGATTCTGTTTGTCTATCATATTGTACTTATCCCAGTATCAGAGTCTTAATAACCATTGGTTTGGTTTTTGGTTTCATTGTAGTGTGTGGCTGTATTGAAACTTAGTATTTTCATCCTTTAATTTTTCAGCTATATACAATTTCAAAGGCACAGGAATACCTCAACTACCTCTTCAGATTGGTGATGTGGTCCATATCTTGGAGTCCTGTGAAGGTAAGTCCCTTGCCTTCAACTGTGTGTTTCTTTGTGAATTACATCATCCTTTCACTTCACAGCAATTCCCTCCATTACATCAGTAGTTGTCTAATACTCTTATTTTTAGTGCTGGTAATGATCTATTTTGAGGAAGAACCTATTCTTTTCTGAAGAGCCAAAATTAGACATATTACAGTGCATGTGGTTTTTTGGGAAGCCATTACCAAATGAGGAAGTCATCAAGGTGAACGTAGAGTTTGTGAAGTTTGCACCATCTTGTAATATACCTGATGGAAGGGACATCAGGGTTTAATGGAGTACATTTTTTGCCTCTAAACTAAATATTTTTTGCTAGGAGACATTCAGCACCCTTGTTATATCAAAAGGAAATCCAGAATGTTAAAGAAATGAGGGTCTGCATGATAGAAACATTTCTGAGAACCATCCAACTTACAGAACATGCAAAGCAGCAAAAGTCCAAGTCAAGTCACTCATGACAGTCAATATCTTCACAATCTGACTGAATTATCTCTAAATCTGCCAGAGCTACTGAAGCTTTTATCAGCATACCTAACTCACAGCAGCTAGTATCTCCAAGTGTCATTGTAACAGTAATGACATAGGGGTGTTCTTGACCAGATTAAAAAACAATCAAAAAAAATTATAAAGTACTTAAAGCTTTTCAAAACTTTAAAATTATCTTTTCTGCTTTATCTTTAAAATTTCTACTGATCTAATGGGTCTTTTATATCTCAGCAACTGTAGTTATGTTCAAGAGAAGGGCCAGCTGCTGCATTACACACTCACAGAGACAGCTTGGTGCTGAAAGACCCTCAGGACGTTGTGGTCACGTTGTGGTCACGGGGCTGCAAACTCTGGAGCTGTTTGAGCCCAGCCCACCCCACTGCAGAGAGCTCTTGGCTGCTTTACTTGGAAACAACAAAGAATTTGAGAGAGGAGCATCTGAGAAACCACATTTCCAATACAGTGGAGCACGTGGTTTTTCTTCTGCTTGTAAGAGAAACTCAGTATCTCTAAGCATCGGTGAAAACATCGATGTCGCTCCTTAGACAGGCGACAGATGGATCTCTCAAAGTCATGAGTGATGATCCACGGCCTCTCCTAAAACATGCAGGGTCTGCATAATTCTTTAAGCCTCCATTCTAAGCATTTTGGCTATGGAATTAAGTACATGGGCAAACCAGAAACCTCCTTAGCCCTGTGTTCAGTGTTAGTTGCAGAAGCAGCATTTCAGGTTTCTGATTCCTTCGCTACGTTTGTTGTCAGCCCAGAGAGTTGAGTGCTGATCTCGTGGGGTTATTTTTTATATGAAGTCTTTTCTGAATCCTCTGCCCTTGATGCACTAAGTCAGACCTTGCTTTATGAAATGTGTTTGCCAATGAAGAAGTGGAAGCTTTCACGTTGTGTGAGTGAAGTTCATCTGTTATCAGATATCTTAAAAATTACGCTGCCAGCTGCAGCTGGGGAGTAACCAGCAGTGACAGGTTTTTTCCTGTGCTCGTTTGATGTCCTATTTTAGTTGCTTTTGCATGCAAAAAATGTAGGCACACAACATATGTGGGCTGTCACAGCAAATGGGAGGAAATAGATTTTACACACCTGATTGTAAATTGAGGCTATGTGCAAATAATTCAGTTTTAGAAGAAAGATGGAATTTCACTTGCCAAGACACCACGGTGAAAAAAATACCAGTGCATAAAGACCTGAAAAAAAATCTGTCTTGAGTCTTTTTTTGATGTCAGTCACCCTCCTGTGACTTTTAACATCACCTTTCTGACAGCACTGTTTGGTTTTTTTTGTTGCTGTTTTTTTTTGTGGTTTTTGTTTGGGTTTTTTTGTTTGTTTGTGGTTTTTTTTTATGGTTTGATTGCATGGCTGAAATATCTGTGCTGTTAGAGAAAGGGTGAGAGACAAAAGGTGGTAGCGAAGAGATCATATCTGTTCTTGGAATTATCATTAGAAAATGTATGCTTTTAGTCATAAAATGCTTTGTTTGGGATGAAAACATGTAGTATTTAACAGAGTTAAATGGTGTTGTTGTGGAGGTGATTTTGTGTGGTTGGCGAGTGCACAGTGGTCGTGGCCTCTGCTGTAATTCAGTAGGGTTGAACTCTGCAATTTATGTCTTTTTGGTAGAAGTTTATTGTGACTTTACTGTGGAATAGATGGAATAAAATCTGATTTGGTGTTTTAGCTGCCACCACTGCAGTACAGCACTCCTGCCTCCCAGAAGGGGTTTCTGGTTACGAATAGAGCACAAGCCAAGTAATAGTCCTGCACTGTCTTGAGCTTCTAACTTGAACTTCACACCAGGAAGCTGCTGATTCAAGCTGAGCCCAAAAGCTCTAATTCCTCACTGCAGAAAGATGGCTTGAGTCTTATTACATACCAGGAAAATGGATATGTAATAACCAGGTGCTGGATTGAGCTAATCCTACACCTAGAACACAAGCAGAGGAGCTTCATGGCTATCCAGTCCCATGGGCCACCTCAGCTGAGATGGATATCTAAGTGTCTGTGATATAAACTACATTGCAAAGCAACTTACCCTACCTTTGTCATGCAGTGTGGGGGTGTTCAGTTCGGTGTAAGATTATCTGTACTTACGATGCAAGACTTGAAAGTCGACCATATAATCATATTTGCTAAAATTCAAGTCATGCTTAATGCGCTTCCTGGTGTTCACTTTAATCTCCGTAAGCCTGAAGTAACCATTAATTTTTTACAAACATTATGCCAGATATTTCTCACATGAAATAAAACTCATGATTTCACTGTACGTGTTTTAATGCCCTTTTTTTTTTTTGGTTTGTCATACCAAGTGATCTTTCTTCCTTTTAGATTGGTACAAGGGTTACCTGGTGAGATACAAAGGAGCAGAGGTAAGATCACTGTTCATTCCTAAGGGACTGTTTTTAACAGATCAAAGCATGAAGTGGGTTGTTTAGTGTCTCTTAGCAGATGGTTCTGTCCTGATCTCTCAAGTCAGCTCTGTCCAATCTCTCTCCTTTCAAGATGAATAAAATGATCAACATTCATCCTGGACAGTTGGTAAATAGAAGTGAGCATGGGGAAAAAAGCAGATCAATGAAGAAGAAATTACTGTGTCTTCAGGTTAAAAGACACCATTTGAATTAAATGTTGAGTAAATTTGCTGCTGGATGTGTTTGTTTCTGTACTTTTCCTAAGGGTTTTTTTAGGCTACATACAATATAAACAACTTGCATGAGGCTTAAATTCCTAAATATCTCTACTGTACAAAAATCCTATTAATTAAAAAAAAGTCAGTATTCTCATACCTAATGATGGAAAGCCACAGATGAATAGTGTTTACCCTGGGTATAGTGACTGCTAAGTTAACTACCAAGAAAATCACTTCTTAGTTTTAAATAAATTTTTGTAGAAGAAAAGCATTTTTTTCATAACTTGCTCTTAGCATAAGGTTTTGTTAGGGAGCAGCAATGCAAAGGCATTTGGAGTCAGAGACTCGTGCCTGTGTTAAAGCAAAACTGTTTGCTGGAAGTTCCTTCTCTGCACCTTGGAAAAAGGATGTACAAAACCTTCACAGCCTCTTTAAAAGGGGAGCAGAGGGACAGAGAATATGCCAACAGAAAAAAGCCCCAGAATAGTGTGAAGTTCTCTAATTCTCCATTATTTTTTTTCCTGTTTTGCATTCAGTGACCTGCAGGTATTAGAAATGACTTGAATTAACTTAGAGATCTGCGTCTGTTTACAAACTGTATGTGATAGCTGAAAGATCTCCTTTCCTCTTGGAAGCATTAGGTGCTTGAGTTGTTGTTTCATTTCATAGCTCAGTGACTCCTCATCCTACAAGACCGAGGAATGAATAATTATTTGTGGGAATTATCAACAATGTGCAGGCTTTTCCCTGTTGTTTCTCCCATTCCATGAGCTCCAGCACACCTGCATAGGATGCCTTCTTTGTTTGCTTCCATTTCTAGCTCATCACAGGAAGGCAAGGGCAGGATAGTGATAAGGGAGGTTACCACAAGTTCTTGACACAGCACAATATTTCAGTGTATTTCAGTATTTCAGGCACCCAAAGTAGTGACTATCAGCTTGTTTATCTGCCATAGCTGAGGGTGGACATGACAGTGACAAACCATCCTCCCCAATACCACACCTGTCTTAATTCCTCCTTTGACATTTCTTCTGAATCAAAATGCTATTTCCGTTTATTCTGCATAAGATTTTTATTTTAATTGATTAAAATTTAGTCTAAAAACTAAAAAGGGAAAATATTTACCAGAATAAATCACTTCCTTTTAACTAATTCCTAATATTGCTGAAGGGCTTCAAGATCAATTCCTTAAGAAGAATTATTAATTTAATGTACTAAGATATCACTAAATTTAGTATTAGTGTGACCTTCTTCTATTACTTGGCTTCTTCATGGAATCTTTTGAACTTCAATCTTAATGAAAAAATGTGGAATTGATAAGACATGATTGTGTTTTGATTAAGATCCAGTGCTTAAAATAAAAAGGCTATAAAAGTTGAAATCTAATTTGGAGAAAGGCTTTGTAAAGTAGCACATGTGCTATTGAATTATTATGGGGCTTGAATTATCACCAGCATCTACCAGATGCAATGATCCTGTGTCAGTGTCACTCCTTTGCTTTCATAGTCAAGCTGACCTCTAAACAAGACTGTGGTTTTGTCCAGGAAAGTGAAACCTGTGGGCTGATGCACAGACAAAATGTTTCTTTACTGAATTTAACTTATATGGTATTGACTTGTATTTAATTGTACTGTTTCCTGGGGGAAGAGTGTGGAAGGTGGTGTTTCTTACAAACAAAGGTAGTCCTATGCACTTTATATTTGCAGAGAAGGATATGACAAAACGTCTATTATATGAGGAATGCATTTATTTGAATAAAAAACTAGATAACCAAGAATTAATTGGGATATTACCATTTATGTGATTAAAGTTTATGTTCATAGTTGTGGCTGTTACTTAAATGTTCTTGGACTTATATTTATTTTTCTCCTTCAACAGGGAATATTTCCTAAATCCTTCATCCACATTAAGGAAGTTACTGTTGAAAAGAAAAGGTATGGAATTTATCTGTTGTACCACACTGAGGATCTTGCTTGCTAAAGAATTAATTTTAAGGCATTTATATACCCCAACCACAGTAACTATAACACACACCCATGAAACACAGACTCTGTGTTATGTTCTCCTCTCTTTCCTAGGCATACAGAAAACATAATACCTTCTGAAATTCCTCTAGTTCAAGAAGTTACCACTACTCTCTGGGAATGGGGAAGCATCTGGAAACAGCTCTATGTGGTAGGACACTGAGCCACGCTGCTTTTGGCCTGATAGCCCGTCCTATTTATGCACATTGCCCAAATTTGTGTGTTTTCCTCGGATGCAGGGCAGGGTCTGGGTGGGTTTAAGGAATTTCTTCCTCAGTGCCTCAGATAATTACCATTTTCTTCAGTGGCTTTACATGTCCAGTGGCTTTAAATCTAGTCCAGCCATCCCCCTGGCAGTGGTGGTGCTGGGTTCAGAGTTGGACTGGGTGGTCTTGGAGGTCCCTTCCAACCCTGAAGATCCTGTGATTCTGTAAATGGAAAGGCTGACACTGCTGAGGGGTGGTGTAACGTCATGGCAGTTGTTTCAACCTTGAGTATCCTGTAAGTGACAAACTTTTCATAATTTTGATTTGTAGAGGTGAAAAGTTTCCATTTATAGGAGTATAGAGCATAACCAAGATGCGTGTGAAAAAGATTTGTGATGTTCTTGGAATGCTAGAGCAAAGGTTGTTCAAGGGTTACTGGGATCATGTAGCTATTAACAGTTGACAATTTCAGGAATTGTGCTGACTGTTCCAGGATCCCAGCCGTTGGATTTTCCTTTTTTTTTCTGTTGGATCAAGGAAATCTTGAATATGGCACAGTTTTCTGAAACATGTCACTTGTGAAACATGTCACTTGTTATTCTTTCGCTTGTTAAAGTCAACAATGGAAACTTGTTTCAGTGAATGACGCAGAAACTGCTTTAGTGAATTCTGTGCATTTTCTTATTTTTCTCTTGAATGTGTTAGTGCCACAATCAAATGTTGTTGTTCCCAAAACGATCTTATCAGTCTCTCATACAGAAGGAAATTGCTTCTGGAACGTTTTCTCTTGATGAGACTTTTAAAGAATCTTAAAACAGCACTATTAAATAAAATAAAAACAACATCATTCCCTATCCCCATACAAACCACTTAAATTTAATGTCATTTCTTTCTGGTCACATGGGAGATTCTGTCCTGAGCAGTTTGTGGGATGAGAAGAGGAAGGAAGCCAGGCTCATTTACTTTGCCTGCTTCCTGCAATCGTTTAGCATTAAATGTGGCACATATTTAATTGTCAAGACCGATGTTTCACTTCAACTCGAAGCCTGAAACTTCTTTTTTTTCCCTTTCTATCTCAGACAAACAAGAAGGACAGGTTCCAGCAGGTGCAGTCCATGATGTTTGACTTGATGGAGTGGCGGTCACAGCTCCTGTCCGGGACTTTGCCGAAAGATGAGCTCAAAGAACTCAAACAGAAAGTCACTTCCAAAATTGACTATGGTAACAGGTAAGTGGCCTACACTGCTTCTGGAAAACCTGATTTATTTTCAAGCTACCATCAAAGAGATGATGATAAAGTTTTCATGTTTGCAGTTTTGGAACTCAAAAATGTGATTTTGTGTTGAATGTTCCTTTTCAAGCTTCTCCCTGTTAATCCTGGGGTAATAGTGAATATTGTCTTCAGGTTTCTCACAGTCAAGTACCTTTTCAAAGTATTAATTTATTTGCTAATTATAAATATGTGAGCTTGTTAATTGCAAAGATTTGATGTCTGATAACTGGCCTTTAGTTACACACAACACCAGTGTGCTCAGGACTCAAAACTTGTCCACTCTTTACAAACACAGTCTATGTCTACAGTGTTATGTGACCCCCAAAAGTGGTGCTGACAGACCATGGTAAGTCTGCAAACACACACATCCACACCCACACCCGATTCACTGGGGGATTTCCAGGCAGAATTCTAGTTCTGATGACAGAAGTGAAACTACCAGAGACAGAATAGTTATTTGACAAAATATCTCATCTCCTTGCTAATGAAAGGTCACTGCAACACGACGTATTTTTTGGCAAAAAAAGTGCTGTTGATGGTATTCCGCCATCAGCAGGAATGAGTGAGAGCTTGATAAACAAATCTTTGTAGTATTGGTTTTACAGGCAATGGGATCTGCTTATAAACTCTGCTTGGCTATTTTAAGTGACAGTGGTGGTTGTGGCCTGAAGGCCTCTGTGCAGCTCAAAGTCTTCAGTAACCTGTGGCTACACATAAACAATGACCACAAGATGTTACGAAACTCTGAACCTCTTCACTGTGATTTGGATGAGCAGGGTGGATCTACTTTAAGTGATAGGCTATTCAATGCTAAATACTGCACAACAGCTTCTGGTTTAGTTAAATTTTTCTTCAATGAAATACAATTGCATTTATTTAGACTTTATTACTTTAAAACTTGAAGCGTCTCCTCGTGTGTTACATTTCTAAGCTTCCTTTATACAGAGGGAAATAACCCAACCATTAAGCCTTTTGTATTTTCACAGAATCCTTGAGCTCGACCTAATAGTTAGAGATGAAGATGGAAATATCTTGGATCCAGACAAAACCAGTGTCATCAGCCTGTTTCATGCACACGAAGAAGCCACCAATAAAATCACTGAGCGAATCAAGGAGGAAATGGTAGGAATGACTGGGAAATTTAAAGCTTCCTTTCCTAAAATCCAAACAGAAAACTAGTCTAAGGGCTGAGGGATGCAACCTTCTGCCATAAAAGGTGGAAACTTTTGCCTCTGACTTTAGAGTAGATTCACATTCATGTGGAATGAACACGGCTAAGCCTCAAATTGAGGTAGTTGCATTTGTGCAACTAACTCAGTTTGGGATTGTATTTTGGATTTGGGCTGTAGGCTGGGCTGAAAGCCTCTGTCTAAAGCTAGTTCAAAATCCATTCTTGGATTCCTGTATGGAAATACATCTCCTCTTTCCATCTGTGGAGTTCAGCAGCCCTGTGGGCTGCTCAATAGGCTGAATTGCATCGTGAATAGTTCCACACTATAGTTCAGCTGCACGCTGCGAGTAACCACAGCTCGTTTTTACAAGACCTTGTGACAGCACTAGTTGTTTGCTAATGTTGCTGCCTGCTAGTTAGTCTGATGAAGCTGAATTTAAGCTCACTGAAGAGGAACTAAGGTGAACTCAGCATAATCTTGTGCACACCAGAAGTTCGTGTGCCAAAGCAAAGCTGACGAGTGCATAAATTTAATCTTTTAAAATGCAAAGCAGGTGACTTCCCTTCCTTGACCTTTTTCTATATTAAATCCCTTCAGGGATTTTTAAGCCTCTTTGGTTCTTTTCTCCATTTATGAGAAAGTAAAGTGTAAAAAAGCAAGTAAAACACTTGACAGAAAATAGTTGGGTTGTCACCACACTTACATAACTCCCATGACAAACCACTGGAAAAAAAACTTTTTGAGTTGTTCTCTAAGTGTAACTAAATAAATGCTGCTCCCCACACATCAAAACCGACAACTAACTGACAAAAAATTAAACCTGGGAGTCTGCAACAGTGGTGCAGACTTTAACAAAGAGTGGTGACTTGCTTTAAAAATAGAGCCAAACAATGGTCATCAGGTGTTGAGTAGTTGCTTCTTGGTGGCTGAAATGGGGTATAGGTAGAATTCAGGAGCCTATTTTTGAGTCAGTGAACCCACTCAGCTGTGTCTTGATATCAGCATGTTATTTGTCTCCTCTTCAAAGAGACTTTTTTCATTTTGCTAGTGCTTCCAGCACACTGAAAGCCCATCACGATGTGGATTGCACATCTGCTACATCTTACTGTGTTCAAAATTAATTCTTATAGGCTTGCATCTGCACTGACATCTTTAAAAGTGGTGGGATTGGTTCCCCCTTTGTGTAACTGCCTGGTGGCTGCAGAACTGAACTGACAGGGAAGTCATAGAATATCTCAAGGTGGAAGGAAATCATCATGGACCATCAAGTCCAACTCCCTGCTCTCTTCTAAAGGGTTTGAAGTTGCTGCAGCACAGCAAAAACACTGTTAAGTCTTTTAGGCACAGTATTTTACCAAAATGTGAGAAATGGACTTCAGAGTAGTTCCACTGAAAGCAGCCTGGGGGAGGGAAGGTTTTGAATATATTCATACACAGGAGTGAAACTTAGCCTGGCTCTTTTCTCCTGAATGAAAGTAAATCTGAGATTTTCAAAATAGGAAGGTTCCTGGAGGGGAAGGAAGAAGGGGAGAAAAACAATTTAGCTGTTGTGTTCCCTGGAAAGTTAATAAAATAAACCCTGTTCCATTTCTAAAAGGAGACCCCTGCTGGGAAATATGTTTAGAATCTCATACCAAGGAAGATCTTACTCATTCTGATAAGTCCCCAAAGTGATTTAAGGCATCTCTGTCATTAACTTTGCCATTATTTGCACAGGGGGTGGCCCCTGCTCTGGGTTCAGTGTTTTCAAGAACCGAGTCTGAGCTTTTTATCTCCCTGTGTACAGGGAGGGCTCAGGGGAGGAAGGTGGCATCTCCAATATCTGTGTCCCTTCTCCACTTCAGACCTGGTAACTCTCCAGCTTCCTTGCAGAGAGGGCTGTTGATCCCTGGGGAAGCCTGGTGGAGGCTCAGAACCTTATTTGCCCATCATGTCTTCCCAATCAAGCAAAGTTTTGAAAGCAACAAACAAAGGGCAATGCTTATCTGCTGGAAACAAGCATTTTAATCCAAACTTCCTGGGATTTTTTCAAGATTAACTGTTACATGTCGTGAAAAGTGAAAACTGCTTGTAGTATCCCACCATTTCAATTCGTGGATGCAGCTGATGATTTTTCCTCCTTCTGAGCAGTCCAAGGATCAGCCAGATTATGCTTCGTATTCCCGAATGTCGTCATCCCCAACCCACAGCCTCTACGTGTTTGTGAGGAATTTCGTTTGCCGGATTGGAGAGGACGCAGAGCTCTTTATGTCACTGTACGACCCACAGAAATCAACAATTATAAGGTAAAACTTCCCTCTTTTCACTGGAGAGGAGTAGCAAAAGCAGCCAGCCCAAATGAAGTCAAATAATTTCCAATGTGCTAATAATGCAGAGAGTTTTAGAAATGTTTTCATTTTATTTATATATTTATTTTTATTTTATTTTTACAAATAAAAGGGACAAAATCAAAAGCAAAGCTAGGTGTGGACAGAACTAGGTTCTGGCTGCTACTAAAGGATTTTAAGTTTCCAAGTATTTTGATCCTGGGTTGAACATTGCAAGAGTTTGGAGAAGCCTGAGCCTGTTGCAAATTTAGGAGATGATTCTTGTTGGGGAATATTGTGGTGTCTGGAGTAAAGTGCTGAAAGGAAGGGATGGAAAAAAATAAGAGAAAATTATAAATTCCAAATCAGATTAAGTTTCTATTGAGGATTCCCATCAAGCAGACTATGATGATGGTGATCTTTCCTCAAAAAAAGGTACCAATTTGTGTTCCAGTCAAGTTATTTTTTCCAAGCTTACTGATGATATTTGTACAGTGTTTTTCTCATCTTTTTAGTCTGGTATTAGATTTAAACCATTACCACAGAGTGCCTGTTATGCAGCTTTTGTTCTGTGCTGTGTAAGGGAGGAATTTTTAAATCACATGACCATGAGATATTTATTTTCAAAACAGTGAGAATTACTTGGTGAGATGGGGGAGTCGAGGCTTTCCAAAGGAAATTGATATGCTCAACAATCTCAAAGTGGTGTTCACAGTAAGTGTTTTCCAGTTTCCTTCATCTTGGTAAATCCAGTTGTCTCTTCTCTGTGGTCACTGCCAGAACTCCTGCAGAATGAGCAAGGAACAGAGCAAGACACTGAGTGCTTTAATGTGCCAATGCTTCAGTGGCTTTTCTTCAGAAGAATTTGTTGCCTCTTAAATTTACTGATGACTTGATATTTTTATCTGCTGTGTCTCTTGATTGCTACTATTTTTTCTATTTATCTTACCTTAGATTTTCTTCAAACTTTAGGCTCTGTTTTCATCCTTTCTTTGTGCTCAGGGTGTTTTGTTTGTTGGAGGTGACTTTGTTTGGTTTGGTTTTGGTAGGTTATTTTTTTTCCCTGTTAATTGCAAAGACTCAGTTTATTACTGGAGGTCCTGTTTAAACGTCACAACTTGATTTTTCCCCAAGTAACACTTCAATTCTTTTCTATTTCTATCTTAGGATCTTGGAAATAAAGACCTTAGCAGAGACAAAATTTATTTAGTTTGTCAAATAGTCCGAGTTGGGAAGATGGACCTGAGGGACAGTAATTCCAAGAAATACACCCAAGGACTGCGGAGGCCTTTTGGGGTGGCAGGTACCTGATGTCTCCTATCCAGCAGGACCCAAGGGATATTTGCCAGCCCTGGACTGTAGAATCTCTACCAAGACACCTCAGAACACAAACCAGCTCTATCAACTATCTTCTGTATTTTTTTAAGTCCATAAGGACTTAAAAAACTGCATTTTAGTTAAAATCAGAACTGTGCTTTTGAATTTACTGTCAGTATTATTATTGATTAATTATTTATTATTAAATATATGATAACACAATTATTAAGTATACAATTAAGTATGCAAGAATACAATTAGTTGTTATTAATTATATTATCATTAATTTCCTGGTTGTATAACTTCCTACTAAGTGCAAACGAAAGTGCAGTGCCAGAGTTTAATGAGAGAATTCCTTGCAAATAAAATCAAGCCAATGATTACGTCCCAAAAGCATCACCAGTGCACTCATACCTGTATTCCCAGGATTAGACCAAAACTAACCTGAATTCTCCCTTTGCTCAAGGTTTGTAGTGTGGGCTTTGCACTAAATGCTCTGCCCCACAAACCTGCCCCCCTTGGGCTGCTTGACAGTGAAAACCCCACATTTCTCTTGAGGCACAAGAACATCATTCATAGATAAAAAAGAGCTATTTGCAATGCTATTATATATTTTAATGGTTTTTCATTCCTTCCTCCAGTCATGGATATTACAGATATCATAAAAGGGAAAGCTGAAAGTGATGAAGAGAAGCAGCACTTCATTCCCTTTCACCCGTAAGACAGTCCTGGCTCTCTCTTTGATAAGCACAAGAATATTTATCTGTCTCCTCGCCTGTAACAATCTGAAATGGCTGAAGAATAAGTTTTCCTTTTAATAATTTTAGGCCCTAATAATGTTCATTATTTAAGTATGACTTGAAAAGGCATTTAGGACTTGTCAGGGAGTCCACAGGGTGTTAAATAAATGTATCATTCTCTGAATGTGCTCCTTCAGACAGCTGGTACCACGGCCCATTTCACAAATCCAGGCCAAATAGTTACACATACCCCACAGTAAACTTTACAAGCAGGGGTAGCTACTAATTTATAAGCTTGGTTCTGTGTTGAATTTGATAAAAATCTGAGAAAAAAATGGGTTTCCTTTAAAAAAAGTAATAGAATTATCACACATTATCTTCAAAAGAAATGCCAGACCCACTGCCTAAAAATGGGATGCTCACAGATCAAATGCAGAGATGCCAGTATTTACTGGGAAGATCTTTGTGCATCCCACATGGCACTGCTGCTGTGTGCTGGGGAGGATAAATTTAATTCTGAAAGACCCAGCCATGACACACTGGTTTATTATTTCTCTTGTGTCAATTGATCCACCATGTTCGTTGTGCGAGAATTCCTTTCTAAACTCAAAAGTAGCTGATAAAAGTTCCAAGTTCATGTATCTAGCTGTTTATCAGGGAGAGTGGAGTGGGCTGGAGGGGCAGGTGGGTGTGTTCACGTGGTCACTCTGTCCCAAAATGCCATTCTTAGCTTTGGACTGAATCTCTTTCACTTCACCTTCACAGAATTGAGTGGGAGTGGGCTGGAACTTGAGGGAGAGAGAATGAAATTACAGAACATATCACAATAGGGTCAAGCCCAGCAAAGAAGACTGAGGCTGTTTGTCATTTATGTTCTGATCTGATCTATTTAACACTTAATTCCTAACAGGCATTGTTGTTTCTCCTGCAGGGTGGTGGCAGAGAATGACTTTTTACACAGTCTCCTAAGCAAAATCACTGCTTCAAAAGGAGACAGTGGGGGACAAGGTAAACTTTCTATTATTTCCTTTTAAATAACAAGGATTTTTTGTGACAGTTCATTTTATATTGTTTGCATTTTCAACAAATGGTTTTGTGTTAGAGCTGTAGCACCACCGTGGAGGTGGGGCAACTTCGGAGCTCGAAGTGAAGAATCAGGAGTTTGTTGCAGAATCTTAGGGGCTGTTTAAATTATTAGAGACAGTTTTGGATTAAAGAACTTTTACTTTCATCTACAGGAAGTGGGGAAAGTGAATTCTTATCCCTGCTTTGCTGGGTGGAAGAGGTGATCATTTTTGAAGACAGATTTTTTTTTTTTTTTTTGCTCTTAATAGGTGTCTGGGTGACTGTGAAAATGCTTGTTGGAGATGTGATTCAGACTAGAAAGGACTACCCACACTTGGTAGACAGAACCACAGTTGTTGCTAGAAAGCTGGGATTCCCTGAAATCATCATGCCAGGTAGGAGGTGCTTTGTTCTGGAATAGGAAGGGATTTTTTTTCCTGTCATTCCCTCTTTTAATGAGCAGCAGCTGCAGTTTTACTTAATTCTGTGAGGGGTTACTCAGAGGCTCTTTAGATTTCACTCTAATATTGTTCCAATATTAGAGGTTTATATAAAACAGTGAAATCCTCAGAAAATATTTGTTAGTACTGAAAGAGAAAAAATAAAAGATAAAACCAAGACAGTGAGGGACAATTCGGTCTCCTTGTACATTGTTTTCTTGTCCTGTAAGTCACTCAAATTTTTAATTAACCTTGTTTTTATTGTAACTTATCATTGTCCTTTGATAAGAGTAAACATATGAGTTTATAATCTATTTTTTTTTTATTTATGGCAAGATATTTTCCAACTGAAATCCCTGTCCCTGAAGTGTTTTTTTTTGTTTTGTTTTGTTTGTTTGTTTTTTAAAAAAAACCACAGCAACTTAAACCTTTCCCTCACAACCTCAGTACAATTTCGATACTTTTTAAGGTCATACGAATTCGCTGTCAGGAGAAAATTAAAACCCGAAGCTCCCTCTAGAAGGAGAGCTGTGAATTTGGGGAAGCTTCCTAATGGATCATCCACCACCTCACCAGCAGGTGTCGGGGCAGGACGAGAATTGCTTCGAGTCCCTCTGAGAGCTCCTTATTGTTTCGTTCGTCATCACATCGTAGTTTCCCTTTAGCTAAGAACAAGAACTGAAAAAATAAGTTCAGGTGGAAAATAATGCATTTTTATCTGTCTCGCTGCGAAAAACCCGAGATACTTGTGTGACGTTCAGTTGCTCCTTTGGCCTCACAGCATTTTTATTGATTTTTAACCTTTTGATTTGTTTTTTAGGAGATATAAGAAATGACATATATATTACACTGCTGTATGGAGATTTTGATAAATACAATAAAACAACTCAGAGGAATGTGGAAGTGATAATGTGTGTCTGTGATGAAGAAGGAAAAACGTTGCCAGTAAGTTTTCTTTTTTTTTTTTTCTGTATGAAAAACATACAGCAACATAAGTTGCATTTTTGAAGTAAGACTTAACTAACTTATACATTTTTATAAAATACCATTATTCGAAGACTTGCTATTCCCTTACTTGTGTCAGCTTGTGACATCTTGTGACAGACAAGTTTTATGATGTTTAAAATGATCTGTCTATTAAAGCCCTATAAATGTCTCCCATAAAACTGTAACAAGGAATAACATTGAATGACCTATTTAAGCTGTGCCAAGGAACAAATGCTGATTCTGACAATTACTGCATTCTTACTCTGGGGTTTTTCTTGTGGAAATTCCCAGAGGAATTCAACTTGTACATTAAAATGTTAGAAGTCCCATTTCTGCTAATAACAAACCCTTGATTCATGCCAGGATTTGTGTCACTGTCCCTTGAATTAAGTACGTGGCAAATAATGAATTAAGTGGCAACAATCACACATGCAACATAAATGTTTACAGTGTCTTTTTGCTTGTCTATTCCCATTTTGAAGAGCTCTTCTTTTCCTCGGGGTTTGTCACCAGTTTGGCATTCAGGGGGATTTTTGACCTTTCCTTTTCTGAGCTTTGTGTTGTTGTGATCACGAGTGTGAAATCATTATGACACTTCCTGAGACAAAATAAAGATGGAGTAACTCACCGTGGTTCACAACTTGCAGAAATGTTTTTGTGACCTAAAATGTAACTTTAAAGCTTGAGTGAAGAGAATCCTAAACCCACATAATGCTTAAGGTCCACACAGCAAATTGCAACCCTGATTACAAAACACCCACCTGTACCTAAGGCAGCACCCAACCATGGCTTGCATGCACACAAGTTAACTCTGTTCTGTATTCTGTCTAATCACAGTTAATATGCTTAAAATTCATGCACACCAAAGTATTCCTTAAAGAAATAAACCTGTTACAATGCATTGAATCTTGCATTCCACTATTCTGTATGTTCACTTCTGTGAACAGTCAGAGAAAGTGGATTTGCCACACTGTCTGTGAGCTGAAACACCACAGCAGCTTTCTGTGGGTCAGGTGCCTTTGACATGTTTAAGCAACGTGCTAAGGAGTTAATTGAAATGCTGTTGAATGCAGGTAATAAATCAAGTAATTGGTTTTCCCTTTTAGCATCTAAAAAACCCCCAGTGAGTAAACTTTCAAACCCATGAATTGATAGTAATTTCGGTGTTTCCCATTATCCAGAGAGGTGCTCACTACACAGGAAACTGGCTCTGTTCAGGCATCAAAATAGTTTCAGTCGCAGAACCAGCCCTGGTTTTCCTGTTGTGCAAGTAACTTTTGTTCCAAGTGAATGCCACGGGAGACATTCAAACAAGTGGGTGCATAACCCTTGAACAATCTCTGCCCAGGCAGATGAGACTCAGCTTTCTGCTGTTAAATCACTGTGACCAGACTGTACAAAATCATCCCCAGGTATCGGCATCTCACCCTTCTGCTCGCAGGGCACCCTGGTGTTTGAAGCAGCCTTCTGAGATTGTTTGCTTCCTTCATGCACTTCAGGCTCAGCTCTGATGCCTGCTGAGGTGTCAGGGATCTTGCTGCTCCAGTGATCAGCATTACAGGTCAGCCAGCCCAGGCAGATGCAGGCCAAGTGTCTTCACAGAGTCACTGAAAAAAACTAAATTCCTTGTTTACCACAAATTTTGAACTTGACCTTAGTTGGACTTGACTTGAACTTGGATCTTAGTTCTGATAGTCCTTAGAGAGTGGGAAAATCAAAGTGTTTACTGTCTGTGCCTCTACAATGTTCAGTTTGGAAGGCAGCTCTGGTGGTAGCCAAGATTCTGCTGGAATAGAGTATTTTAAAGTGAATGGAGTAAAATAATGGAATAATGAAGCTAGATTTATTTCTTTTTCCCTTTGCGTGTTTCATCAAGTAACTGAGATGATGTCTTGGTTACTTAAATTCATCAGTTGGAGAAATCAAATCTGTTGTGTGTTCCTCACACCGCTCTGCTTGGAGTCTGCCGTGTGACCCCAGCCAAATGCAATTACACTGGCCCTGCCCACAGATCAGGGGAAATGCTTATTTTCCTTGTGTTCAGAGGCTTGGAAAATGCTGTATCTTCACATCAACGCTTCCCCTCTGTTGGTGCTGTCATTGCTATTTAATTTTAAACCAGGCCGTACCTAAATTCAAAGCCGCTGGGAGGGCAGCAGGATGCAGAGCTCGGGCTGAGCCTGAGCCGCATCCCAGAGCCGGGGCGGGATTCCCGGCTCGGGACTCCCGAGGGAGGCTCTTTTTCGGTGATTCTTCGCTTGTGCTCAAGTTGCAAAAACTCCCACCAAATTAAGGAGGCACTAAGCGCTGTTTTCCCCCCTCTTTTTGTCAGAACGCCGTCTGTCTGGGCGCGGGGGACAAGCCCGTGAGCGAGTTCCGATCGGTTGTTTACTACCAGGTCAAACAGCCGCGCTGGATGGAGACACTGAAGGTACGGCTGGGACACTTCTCACTCTTCTCACTTCAGAGTATCTCACGCAGAAAGGTTGCACGGCATCAGCTTTTTCTAAAGAACATCTTGGCCCTGATACAGCTGAAGGAAGGAGCCTTAGTCACACATCAGTTATTAGAGACACGCGATCACCGAGCCTTGAAATTTGGCCTAGAAAATGATGCTGAGGTTCTGTTCAGCAGAACGAATGAGATCATCTCAGATGACCTCGTGTCCTAAAGGGGCTCGTCAGGAGGTGAAATATTGCATTTGTTTTATCGCGGGGGAAACCACGGAGACGAGGAGCTTCAATTAAGAGACAAACAAACAAACAGGGCCAAACCAAAACCCAGAAGGAAATGCCCCACCCACCCCCTCTTACGGTTTTAGAGAGGAAAAAACTGTGTTGGTTTTCTTTAAGGGCACACTAATAATCATCTAATCAAGCTTTAATGTCAATGATTGGAGAACGCCCAGAAGCTACAAGAGATGGTTCTTATAAAGCCCGTGTGAGACTTCCTAGCAAGGATAATTTTTTTTCTGGACAAAATAGCCATGTATGACAAGTCTGCAATTATTACCTAAAGGTGTGTTGCTGTGATTGTGCAGCAGAGGGAGGGTATGGAAGTGTAATTTCCAACAGAAGCTGATTTGTTGTTCTGAAAACATTGACTCATTCTGTTTATTGCTTACTTTACTTGTTCCTTTTGAAAATTATTCTGTAATTCAGACTTGGGCACAGAACCAATTGCAGGAGATCCTGTTGAAAGGTGTAGTTAACACGGAGGAGTGTTATGTAGTGAGATTTGTAAAGTGGAGTTATGAATGGACACAAAACGGTGCAAATCTTGAAAGTTCAGAACTATAAACCTGATAACATGAATTTCATGCTTTTTCCTACGTAGTTGGCCTTTTTTGTTGTGTGTTTGCCCTAAAGTTGCTGCATTAAGAATAAACCGCTTGAGAGTTGCTGTGATTTCACTCAAGGCTTTGATGCTAAATTTAATCACAGAAAAAGTCTATTTATTTTGCTAGAGTTTTGATACCTTTTTCTCTTGATTGTTAAACTAGTTGTCAACTTTTGTAAGAGAAATGTGACAGTTGCACAGTGCAGCTGGATAATTCCGTGGTTGAGGGGGCAAAACTTGCAGTGGGCTTATTTTCTAGCACCTGTGTGCATTAACTGTGTCCTGTGCTTCATTTCTTTGGTGTGTTTGACTTCGAGCAAAGTCTTCCTTCTCAGCCACCACTTCTGCTGCTCAATAGTTTCAAGTGGCCCGTGAAAGGAGTTCTGAAAGCAGCACAAGTGGTGCTCATTTACTCTAAAATAGGAGCTCCTCACACCTGAAACCGCCTCCCACCCCCATCCCCCATAACCCTCCCTGTTATTTTCTGATTTCACAAAAGGTAGCAGTGCCTATCGAAGACATGCAGAGGATTCACCTGCGCTTCATGTTCAGGCACAGGTCGACCCAAGAGTGTAAGTAGGGAATTTTTACTGTAGTGAACTTAAATTCACTGCTGAGCAGCCAACTGAAAGTCTTTCTCTGCTTTGCAGCCAAAGATAAAGGAGAAAAGAATTTTGCCATGGCTTACATAAGACTAATGAAGGAGGATGGAACAACTCTGCAGGATGGCATCCATGATTTGTTAGTCCTAAAGGTACTGGCTCAATTTTCTTCCATTTTCCCCCTCATAACACACCTATTTTTTTCACTGCTTTGACTGCTTTGTATATTTACTTAGTGAGACATCGATTTTACTATTCTATCAAGGATAACATTATTTTCCTCTGGAAAAAAAAATGGTGTAACTGCTCCCATGTTCAGTAAATGTTGCTCTGAATTTCACTTAGAAATTATTGAAGAGCAATTAGAGATGGTTACTCTTAGAACTTTTTTCACTGATATTTTTGGGTTTGGCCACCTGCACTGCAGAGAAAGTTACACTGAAGCTCAGCACCTGGGTGGGTACCATTACTCTTGCTGAAGGGAGGCAATTGTTTGTTTTGTTTAAAATCTTTGTCCCGTGAATAATCTGGGAATGCAGTCTTAGGGAATTGTTTGTTTGAGACTGCTCTGTGTAGGGGGTACAAAAGCAAAAGCTTCAGGAGATTGGTTTTGGGTGTGGAGAATAGTTTTGGCTGGCTCTGGTGGGACACAAGGAGCATTTTTGGCTTTGTGAGCTGAAGCAAGGAAACAGATGTTTCTAGACCTTGCTTTGGGTTCTCCTCCCACTTTGGAGAGTGGTGTTTAGCAGGAACAGAGAACCAGGAATCACTCCCAATACAGAAGAAACTTCTCAGGGCTCTTTTCAGTCAACTAGTTTGCTGTAATATCAGTAGCAAGCAAGATGCATCCAACTAAATCAAGTTGCCTAGGTAATCCAAAAAAAGATTGATGGCAGTGTGTAGTTATTTATCTTCTCTTCATTGAAAATTGATAAATACTGAGACTGGAAGGAAAATAACTATCACATATGACAGTGTGGTTAATGTTGGTTATGAAATTCCACCTAATTTGTTTCTGCATCAGCCCAGTAATTTTTTCTAAAGTGACAGCATGGATGAGAAATGCTAAACAGAGTTGACCTAGTTTATGGTTGTGAAAAATAGACAGATTTTCTGACATATGTTTGCCTATTCTAGTATTAAAAGCAGTAATTGTAAGCTGTAAGTGTTTAAAGCAGTCATACATCTGTCCTCTCAAAACAAGTCATTTGAAAACTGCCAATTTTAAAGAGTGTACTTTATTTTTAATGCCTTCAGGCATTGGATCTTTTTGAGAGCCTTTGGGATCAAAATTTCAAGCCTTTTCCCCATTTTCTGTCTTAATTGTCCCAAAGAAGAGGAAGCCAGGAGTTTCTTTTGGTTCCAGAAATTCTGAGAAGTACTTCTTTGGCAAGCTTGATACCATCAGAAATGTTCGTCATTTTTTTCTGGTTTGCTGCATAAGGATTTTGCCTCTTGTCCAAGTCTCTTATAGTCAATTTTTAACATTACCTCTTGTGTTGATAGGAAGCAGGAACTGTACATCTGTGGTCACTGAGTCAGATAAAACCCTAAGGCTTTAAAACAGGTTTCTAGATTTTTGGTTTTGTAACTCCTTGTTTGTGCACAACTGGAGACCAAAGGTCTGCAGTGGAGTCATATCTGTCACGGGCTCGTAGCTTTATGTGACAGCTCAAACTAGTCAGGGAAATTTTCTAGAATAGTTTTGTTAAAGCAAAACTCAGTTCTGCAAACAGTGAGGAACATGATTTTTATTGCCTTGGCCTATTACTTTCCTGTCTGGGGAATAATAAGTTGAGACACAGAAAATATGTGAGGGTTATGTCACAAAACTTGGTGAAATAGAGGAGGGAAAAATACCTGTTGGCTCTCTGGTACTGTTCATCCTACTGAAAAGCACAAATACCGTGATATTTGTCACTTAGTTACTGCAGTGTATTGTCTGATTTATAATTCAATCTTACCATGCCTTAATCTTTTATATTAAAGGTCCAGTCCTCAAGGTGGTACTCAATAGTCTGTTGTGTTCCATAGGTATTGACATTTTAAGGAAAGATTGGCTCTTACTTTTGCTCTGCCAGTGATGTCACCCCTCACAGTCCCTTAGTGCACCTTAAAACACAGACCTGTATGATTGCAGAGAAGTATTTTCCCTGCATGCTCATTTCAGCCTTTCTTTCTAACACCAGGAGCCACACTGGGACTCGAGGATCCTTTAGTGAAGTCCACAGAAACAGAGATTTTTGTTTACTCCTCCAGAAAACACAAAATATGCCTTATTTTAAATCCAGTGGCTTGCAGTATGTAATGGCTGGTATGTTGTTTTTCAGGGGGACAGTAAAAAAATGGAGGATGCTGGTGCTTATCTGACATTACCCTCTACACGTCAGCACGTGGAAAACAAAGGAGCAACCTTAGTCAGGAGCTCGAGTGTGGTGGGGGGGCTCTCAGTGAGCTCCAGGGATGCATTTTACATTTCAAGCCTCGTTTGTTCTACCAAGCTGACTCAGAATGGTGGGTATCTTCTAAGCAGGTCGGTTAGAGAGAAGACATTTGCACCAGCTGATGAATCATTTTCAATTCAATGCCTGTCCACCTGTTTTTCCTTCAGTGGGCCTGCTGGGTCTCTTGAAGTGGCGGATGAAGCCGGAGCTGCTTCAGGAGAACCTGGAGAAGCTGAAGATTGTGGATGGAGAGGAAGTTGTGAAGGTATATCTTTAAACAGTTATTCCAATAATAGTTGTTGTATGTCCCTCCATGCCATAGAGCAAATGGTAAATAGTTTCAAAAAGAAAACGAAACTGGAAGTTCAGTTACAGCAAACACTGGAAGTGAAAAAGCCTGATGGTTACACTTTGGTTTTTGGTTGTCATGAAGTTCAGTGCCTTTGTCAGGGAGAGTTTGCAAAGGGCACCAGCAAAGCTTTGCAGTAGAGGGAGCAAAGATGCAAACACCTGGACAGGATTATTCACTGCTGTCCAGCTTTTTTCCTACTTACTGCTCTCAAGTAACTCTGGTATTGGCTATGGGCTGTGGGGATTTGCAAGATTATTACCAAAACTTGCCTGCTTTCACTGGTAATTAATTTATTAGGATGCTTTTCTACTCTCTGTTATTTAGCTGGAAATTTTGTACCTGAATGGAAAATTCAATCCCAGGAATATTATTTTGAACATTGCTGCTTTAGGCAGATACATGTAGGTGATGAGACAACTTTTGAGCATGTGCAGAAAATTTTATAAATAAACTTGATAGGAGATAAAGGCAATAATAGCAAAAATGTTTTCTACAGTCTCTGTTCAGCTCGTGGTTTTTGTCTATCTGAAACATCACAAACAGTTCCTATTGCTTTCTCTGTAGTTCTTATTATTAATTTACAGGTTGATATTAAAACCAAGATGTTTTATGTACCCAATGAAGCACTTTATTAAATTAATGAGTATAATGTGAAAAAAACTTTAATATTTCGGAAAATAGAAGACACTATTACATTTGTATCTTTAAATATAAGCATTAGATGCCTCTGGAGAAGAGGAAAGAGAACTTCAAAAAAAAAAGAAAAAGAGGGGGTGGATTTTTTTTAACCAAAGATTTGTGTCCCAAGTCGCTGGGATACTTTCCTTTGATTTAAAGCAGGCTTTGCATCAGACCACAGAAGTATGAAGAGTTTTTTTTTAATCATCATGTATATGTGAAAATAGCAACTACTAATCTGTGTCACTAAGGAAGCAGGAACGCAGTTTTAGAGAGTTATGTCATTTATATAATATTTTTAGCTTTTCCATAAGCTTTGAGCTAAGCATGTATTATTGATTGCTCATGTATCTGAGGATGTAGGTTCTTAAAATTAAAGAAACTAGAGCCTAAATCCCTGGAAGTGTTTACTGAATTAAAGTGGTGTTTTAGTAAAGGTATTAAAATTCTAATTTGAGAGGAACCAAGTCTACTCTCTGAAAAATGACTTGTGAGGTTTTCAAGCTGAATTGGTCACCAGTTTGTCCTTTCATGTTGTTCTTTAGTTTCTCCAAGACACGCTGGATGCCCTGTTTAACATCATGATGGAACATTCCCACAGTAATGAGTATGACATCCTTGTCTTTGATGCACTGGTAAGAATCAGCACCAAGGATTTCATTTGTCAAAGTAAAGAACCTTAGAAGTCTCAATGAGCAATCAAGTTGCTCATTTCAGGGAATTAGTCTTTAAATCACTGCAGAGCAGATGGAATATTACTAATTGACTGAAAATCGAGTTTCTTTAAAAACTCTTAAACAGTGAATTATCAGAAATATTTCAGAGGGCTAACATTTACATTTGAAATGTGACTGTAGCTAATTCTGTCCTTGTCTGTTCAGATCTACATCATTGGGCTCATTGCAGACCGTAAGTTCCAGCACTTTAACACTGTTTTGGAAGCCTATATCCAACAGCATTTTAGTGCAACACTGGCATACAAGTAAGTTTGTTCTGCCTTCTTTTTCTTTTTCCTAAACCTCCACCACCACATTAAAGAAAGTAAATCCTGTTTGTGACTTATCTGATGTAATTAATGGTGACTGCTGTTTGGATGTTGCTTTTTCCTTATCTGGAAACGAACCTGCCTCTGAGACACATTGTGATTATAACTGGAATTACTGAACAAATAGCAAGTGATTTGGGGTTAAATGGTTCCTTGGCATTTGTTGGTGAAATGATTCTTTGGCATTGAATTCTGTGGTCTGGATTTTGCTGTGTCTGAGCACTTCACCTGTATCCTGTCAAGTTTATCAAAAGATACTTTAATGTAAAGCCTCTCCCATCATATCCCCAGCCTTGAGCTGAAAAGCCTGAAGTGAGGACTTGAGGATGTTCTTAACCCATTTACAGAGGTTTCCATGTGTTTTTTTTTACATCAAGCAAACTCAAGGGGGAAAAAAATATTCTTTGGGAACTGTCAAGTCTTCCTATGCATTTCAGTCTGATGTTGCACCAGGAGGGTTTCAGTGCAGTGAAGTGGAATTTTGGTATTTGTTATGTGCTCTGATGTGAAATGGAGTTTTATCATTTGTTACATGGTTATGCCAGTGGGCAGGTAGACACGCTTGTGGTGGGGTTTTTTATGTGTATTTTTTTAATTTTTGGAGCTTCCAGATAATGCCCAGAGAGGAAGGCATGGATTCATAGAAGAGGGTAAAAATCATGGAGACATGTTATACAGTAAATTTAATCCTGGACTCCTACTTTATTTAGAAAAGGGTTTTGGTGCTGATTGTAGGATAAAGTGGCTGATTTATGAAGAAAGGGAACATCTTCAGTTAGTGCTGATCTTGGGGAAGTGTTCTAACAGGACGGATGTGGTTTTATAATCTACCTGAAGTCTGGTTCTGGCAGCTTAATGGGGTGGCAGATTGAAGCAGAACTTGAATTTGGGATATGAATAGTGCATGGAAGACTTGAGCTGCAGGTTTGGAATAGCTGAGGATATCTTATAGTGTCCTGTGCTGAACTGGCATGTTCTAACTCAACAGCAAATGTCACACAAATCATGCACTAGGACAGGAGTTTGCTGGAGTTGGAAGGCAGCAGAGCACAGCCAGCCCTTCCTCACATTCTAGGGAAGTTCAAGTTGCATTATTGAACTCAGAAAGCTCAAAGGCAAACTGCAAGTCCTTCTTTAATCCTCTCCCACTCCATATGTAATTAGCACGTGTCATTTAATGTGTAGATTAATACTCTAGTGAAGGAGGAGCAGGATGGGTACAGAAACTCTCAGAACAGCCTTATTTGCATCAAATATTTCTCAGACTTGCCTGGCTGGGAGTTGCTGATGATTTAATCAAGGTGGTAGAGGAAAAACAATAATGTTTAGGATAGTTCCCCACATCAGGAGTTTTCTTGGCATTATTGATTCCAAGCACATCATGGAAGATTTACTCTATTTCAAGAATCATTTATTAAACAAACAAGTAGCTGAAGGTGGCCTAATTCCTAGTTTGGAAGGAAATACTGTGTCCCAGACATATTATAACCATGTTATGATATGGTCTGTTGGCCAAACTGTTGGAATTATCTATTTATTCAGCTCCTATTTATTCATCCCTTTGTCCTGGCTTTTATGGAGTTCTGGGAGGACTTAACATTGACCACTGAGGGACCTGCAGTCAGCTGCCCCTAAATACAAATTGGAGAAACTTTGTTACAGCTCAGAGAAGATATAAAAGGGAGGAAATGGAAAGACACACAATGAATGTAATGCCCAGAAGGCTGAGAGGCTGCAAACACAGTATTATAGTCCAGAAATAGGAGTTAGGCTGGGGACATGTATGAGTTGCACAGAGAGAGAGGGAGTTTGGTTTTGTTTGTTTAGGGTAGGGGATAACAACCTTCAATTTTTGTAGTGGGGGAAAAAAAACACAGTCACCCAAATCTTAGTTCTTACAGTTGCATTAAGGTCGAGATTACATCATTAATGTTGGTTTAATAATTTAAGATGGTTCTAGAACTATAAATTAAGAGCCTTAGTTTCAGGTGAACTTTGGCATTTTGTGGCAGGTTTTGTGGCATTGAGCAAAAAGTTGCTTTCGAATACAAAGTAAGAAGTGTTTAAGTAAAATAAAGAAGCAAATACTGCTGTGTGCTGGAATGTTGTAATATTTACATACAGTTAATTCAGAGCATGCAGTGGTGTTTATTCACTGCTTGGTGGAAGTAGGCAGAAGTAATATTTTGTGTTACCTTCTGCATGTTCATTACAAACTTGTATAAAAGTGTTTCCAGGATTGTGTCAAGTCATGCTGCTGTTTGGAGATTTCACATTTCTTTCTTGCTTCTGCAGTTAAGAATTGGCTCCTCATTTGTTTGTACTGACAGAATTTGTGCAATATAAATGCAAAAATATTTGCAGTGCTACTTGGGGTGTGTGCTTGACTGAGCATGAACATTTACTTAGAGTGGGCAAACGAGTTAAAGAAGTTAATTTGAAAAAAATTTTAAAAAGAGAAAAGATTATTTAAAAATGTTTTTTAACTTCAGGAAATTAATGACTGTTCTGAAGACATACCTGGATACTTCCAGCAGAGGGGAGCAATGTGAGCCTATCCTAAGAACTCTGAAAGCACTGGAATATGTTTTCAAGTTCATTGTTAGATCAAGGACATTATTTTCACAGTAAGTACCCAGGCTACTGCCATTTAACAAGCTGTCTAATGTCAGAAATAGAAGGAGACCTGAGAAACAGAAAAAGCAGAACTGTTTTTAATTTTACGAATAAAACATAAAACTGGCAAGTGGCCTAAGAGATATTGGCATTGCTGAGATATTTTTTGGAGAGGGAATGCTCGCAAATCTGCTTTCTGATGCCCAGGGTAAGTTCCAGAGTTGTATTTAGTAGTAGCAGCAGGTTTCAAAGGGTGATTATTCTTCGTGTCAGGTGGCTTGGCCTAAGACCAGTGGATGGCCAAACGTTGCAACAGATGGCTGGAGGCTGGAGACTCGTCCTTGAGAACACGGCGCTCAGCAGCTCAGGGGGGGCACAGAGCAGTGCCATCTTCTCTAACTGAATATGGAGTTTCAGGTCTCCAGTTCAGGAGTTTGCAGGGAGGGCTCCACGGACTGGGTGTGTGTAGCTCAGGTAAACAGAGTAGTGTAGTACTGACAAGTGGTGCTCAGGTTTAGGGAAAAAGGAGGATGGGAGAATGAAGGAGGTGAAAAGGAAAACTACACGTCCCCACAACTCACCTGGCCCTTAAGGACTCACCATAAACCACAGACCCCTTTCCTCCCTTCTGCTTCAGGTTTTCCCATTTATCCTTAGCTGGTTTTCCCTAATGTTTGTTCTGATGTCCCTTTGCCACGTGGTTTAAGGAATGCAGTGGTAGAACACAAGCAGTGGCCAACTCGGGTCTACAGGCAGAGCAAGTGGCTGGATGTTCTGTTTGTGGTTGGCATCCAGAAGAACAGAAAGATGTTCTGTTCTTTTGCTCAACAGGAGCTCTAACACAGTTTTTCTCTGTTTTTCCTGCCCATTTCTTTAAAAAAAAAAAAAAAAAAAAAAATCCGTGTAGATTTATAGTTTTTTAATACTAAGTCTATTTGATGAATTATTAATTTTTGGTTGAAGTAAGAGTAGATTCAGAAGGTAATTGCTGCTGGTAGATAGTCCCTTAGAAATATCCTTGCCTCTAGGAATTTACTATTTATAGGTGGGTACAGGTGAACAGTGTGTGAAGCTCTATAAGGAAGGAGATGGTGCTCAAGGGAACAGAACACGGTTGGCAGTTCAAAAGCTTCATTTTATATTTTTATAAGAGGTGTCATGGCAAAAGGGGACACTTGGAGTCACGAGGAAGGAAACATTGTGTAGGGGATTATGGAACATTTCCTGTGTGGCTGAAGGTCAGAAGGCAGGAGTTGGGTTCAGAGAGAGCTTCAGTCTCCATTTTAATTTCTGGTGTACGTTGGATAATTTGTCATAAATGAGGTTACTGCAGCATGTTGCATATTCAGGTGATTAGCTACATTTATCTGCTGCTACTTAACTAGATCTGAAACTCGAAATTCATTGGGCAATTATTATTATTTTAGGCAGTAACAGCTCCTCCTCCAAAAACAACCAGTGACCAGAATCCCCTGACACTGGATATCCAGCTACAGCTGCTGGCATCCAACTTCTTCCACTCAATTCCCTGTTGTCAGACTGGTCCTGGTAAAAAAGAAAATACCTAAAAACCTGGATTCATATATTTTCTTCCCATGAGAAAACTTGTGATTTAGGATTAAAGTACTTCACTTCCAAGGGTTGACATTAACCTCCTTGGAGACATTTTGAATGAAGATATTTTGGTGATATTTTGAATGAACAGAGCAGAGACAGATCTTTAAATCATTCTCTCTTCATTCAATGGGCTGCTTAAAAAGCTGAGATGCCTTTTTGAAGGGTAAGAGACATTACAAAGCAAAGATTGTGTAGGAAAGAGCTAAATTAATGACATGTAACATTAGACATAAAACAGGAGACTTTTTATTTCACTGTCAGGCAGATACATCGAGGTAACCAAGTTCTACTTTAATCTTCATTCTTTGGGTGCTGTTGAAACTACAGAGATATAAGGAAAGCAATACTCTTTTGCCTGCACTCAGCAAGGTTTGCATAACACAGACTCTGAAAACATCAAGGGTTTATTTTCCTCCTTTCCTTGGCCTACGGTTGTTTGTGGTGGTAAAATTCATGGACACTGATGAAGTTGTTTCTAAGCAAATGATTGGTTATCTTTAAAAATTTGCTTTCAGAACAAATGAATTTAATTGGTTTATCTCTGCTGTTCCATGTGCTGTGTAGATATTGTTCTGTTTGAACACAACAACTCTGAATTGTTTTCAAAGCCTGTAAAGCATGACACCTCCCAGACCTGAGCTTCTGAAACGCAGTAAATTTAAACTGAATTGAAATTTAACAAAGAACATCCTGTCTAAATAGAAGCTGGGTGATTGGTCAGGAAATAGAATCATAGCTCTACTTACAGTAAATTTAAAAAGCATGTTTCAATTTTAAAAAGTGTGTTTCGTAGATGACGTGTGCTGTTTCTGCCTCCCTCCTTGTCCCTCAGCTTTAGTTAAGGAAACTTTAAATTTCCATTTGCATTAAAAAATATGTTCAAGACACTCAATTTACTTTTGTGGCAACATTGCATGATCAATAAAAGCTGTATCAGTACATTAGCCAAGTAAATTAATGAACATTTAGACTGAGAGATTGTTACAACTTAAATGTACTTTGCTCCCATTGAAAGATAATTTTAAATTGTGCCCATATACCACAATCTCCACTGTGGAAAAAAAAGAAATAACCTGACCAAAACCTAAGCTCCTAAAATACCACCTGATAATAAATGAAATGATTTTCTATGTAAGTGTGCTTGTCCTAAGACTTAGATGTTTCAGGTGTCTTTCAAATGTAATTTTTCTGGCATTTTTACTCAGCTTTCACACCTCAGTAGGGACATCCCTCAAGCAGAGTGTACTGTATACGTGTATTTATTGTTTTTTCCTCTCCACACAACGTTTTGGATGCTGGGGGTTGATTTAGCAGCTTTGATTTTCACTTGTTGTAGCCAAAAGCTCTCAATTTGCCTTTATTTCTCCTCAGCCTCCGCTTGACACTGAAAGGAAAAGCACATGACTGGAATACAGGACTTTAAAGGGGTTTTTCTCTTCTGATGGAGCAAACAGAGCAGTGAGGGCACAGCATTTAGTTCACAGTGTCCTCCTCCCATTTCAGGATGCTCTTCTTGCCTTGGCTTTTTTTTTAAAATTTATTTTCTTATCTCGTTTCTCTTTATCTTTTGACAGCTGTTTCACACAGCTAATTCCACACGTCACCAGTGGTTTTACTGTTTATTCAGGCAGTGTTTAGTATTGATGGCCAGTATGAACAACACAAGAGAAATAATCTGAGAGATTCCACCTTTGGGACAGGGAATGAAGAAATAATGGAGTGAGCTGAGTTGAAATGCACTTTTAAACTTTTAAATGTCAAATAGAGACTTTTTTTTTCTTTTTTTTATTTTTTCCCCCAAAACCAGACTAGTTAATGGAACCAGTAAAAGTAGCTTTGTGAAAAAGTGGCAATAACAGCAGAAGACAGAAATAGTGATAATTTGTGAGCAATATTCTGGAGTAGCTCAGTTGCAGTGGGGAAAAATAATTTTTTTTTAATTTATTTTGCATATAAGTCACTTTGAAAGGGAAATGGGTTTTAGAAGCTCAGATCTGGGAGGTGTCATGCTTTAGAGGCTTTGAAAACAATTCAGAGTCGTTATGTTGTGTTCAAACTGAACCATCTCTACATAATACAGGGAATAACAGGCATAACCCACTGGGGAAATATCTGTACCCAAAACTGGATCAACTGCCCAAATATATATTTCTTGTCAAATCTGTTACATTTAGGATGATGAAACTTTGTGATTCTGAAAGGGTAACCTGCTGCATCTCTCAACAGATTGTATGAAGGCAAAGAACAGACAGAATTTGAAGAATCCATGAGGAGACTCTTTGAATCCATCAACAACCTGATGAAAAGCCAACATAAAACTGCCATTTTGCTGCAGGTTGGTGTGTGCTTGGAAACCAGTTGGGTTTGGGGGTTTATATTTGTGGCCTTTTAATTTTTGTTCTTTTTAAATTGAGGAAAAGACACTCTTAGGAAATTTATCCAATATGTCTCTTTTTTAATTCCCCTCTATTGGAAGACCAGGTTGTCCAATTAAATTTGAGGCCTGGTCTGAAAAGGTCAGGAGAAAATACTTTTAAGAAACTTTAATAATGTCGTGAGTGAAAGAACCAAAACACAGGTGCTGGAATCTGCCAAGGAATCTCGTGATTTGAAGCCTCCAATATGTATATTTAATTCTTAATTTTCTTCAGATAGCTGTGAACAGGGATTCCCCCTTTTTAGTTTGAAAAGTAAACTTTATCGTGTCAAACTTTTGGATTTAGGTTATTTGAACAACTGAAAATAGGATCAAGGCTTCCCACTGACATCAGTCTTTGTTATTCTGACACTTTGGAATCTGACCCTTGAAAGAAAACTAGAAAAAGAGCTATTAACATCATTAATATCAAATAATTTGTATGTATTTCTCTATTAAAATAGAGAACTATCAAGGCTCTCTATAGAGTAAAAAGCAGAAGATTTGTTGGGCAACTGGAGTATTAATGCTTCATACATTCTTTATTATTATTGGGTTTGAATTTTCCTCTGGTTCTTTGTTTTGATTCCTTTTGATATGACTGAGACCAGGAGGGGAATTCAGGGGAAAAGCCTGTCTTGAATAAAACCTCAGGTGCCTGACCTTGAGATTTGTGTTATCTGACATCTGCATGGAGTGTTAATGTGAACTGCAAAGCAGCCAAAAAAGTAAATGCTGCTCTAATTGTACAATGCCACGATACAGCAATATTTTAAAGGCATTTGAAAATCAATCAAGTACACTCTGTTATTATTTGATAATTCTGTAGAGACCTTCCTGGGAATAGTTGATACATGTGACGCTGCATCAGAAACAGGAGGAACTTGGGGAGAACAAAAAGCATCTCTGAAGGAACACTGAAAGAGTTTCTGTAACACTGAAAGAGTTTCTGTAACACTGAAAGAGTTTCTGTAACACTGAAAGAGTTTCTGTAACACTGAAAGAGTTTCTGTAATGATGTTTGCTCTTATGGTACTTTTGCTATCAGTGTGTAAACTGAGAATTGGATTTTGGATGATGCTCTTTGGGAGAACCTGGATCTCCAAAGTGGATGTGTGGGATCGTCCCTCTGTGTTTCCTCTAATGAGCAGGGGAGTTTCTTCCTGAGTGACAAGACGTGGTTGTAGGAAACAGTTTTGCTTCCTTTTGCTGTTGCTGGGGCACAATAAAGGGTCTGCAAGTGTGGATGCTGCTTCTGGAGTGGCTGGTGGGTGTGTTTGGGAACAGGTGCTATTGTAATGCCAGTGGCAGGATGGCATTGAGGAATCCTGGCTGTGCTTACCCTCATTTCCATGTTTGCCTGTTTAATGTTATCCTGAATATTACACCTGTTCAGCAAAACCATATCTTTGCTGATGCTTACAAGCCTTGCAAATAGAAGTGAGCAGCTCTTAGAAGGACTACAGAAAAGAAATCTGTGCTAATTTAAAGAGCATGTAAGTGTGGCTCAAAGGTAGACTGGCTATTGAGCAGCTGTGCTCTGCTCAACACCATACTGAAAATTAAGATTTTGGTTTTCTAATGAGTGCTGCCAGTTGTGAAAAATGGGTGCTATTTATTCATAAGCATGAAGCACTACTGGGGTTTTAGGTATCTAAATCTGTACCAGGGACCATAAGTTTGCTTTTTAGCAGGAACATTTTATGGCAGGTGTGAAATACTGTTTATACTGATTATATCCTAACTTTGCTCTTGTTCCCACTCCTGCTGACTCATACAGCTGTGTCTCTGGAAGAGACCTGCAAAGAGTTTGCTTTACACACAGTAAATAAAACCTACTGCATTAATGTTATAAAATCCTAACAGGAGAGGCATGGAATGACAAGTGTCCCACTGTAGTTCAGTGCTGGCTGCTGAAAATGAGTTTATTGGGGGAACAAAAATAAAATAAGGGTCCCCCCACTTCATCATGAGCTCCATAGGCATGTCAGGCACAGCTCCACAGCAGACAGAGTGTGTTTCTGTGCCTGTTTGGAGGAGAATTCCATGATGATACTCCAGACTCCTGCTCTGGGAGGTGGATCCAGGCCAGAAAAAGGGAGATAATTTCTGGTGAGATGGAAGAGAAGGGAGTAGAAAGAAATTCATAAATCTGCCTCTCTGCCTAAATGCAACACTGATTTCCCTTGGGGAATTCCAGATGACAGTGATAGATGCTGTAGTAGTACAGATTGAGCTTTGCAGAGTAAGGGGCAGGCAGTTATTCAGGGGCAGCACAGACACCCAGAGCTCCAAAGGTGTTACACTCCACTTACCCAGGGAGGAGAGTTCAAACAGTCTGCTGGAAAAAATAGAGGAATAATCAGCATATCAAAACAGCCTTAAATCTGGCACAGTGCAAATTATCACTGATATGAATTAAAGTGGAACACAGATTGGTAGGACCAGTTGAATGTGTTCAAGCAGATTATGGACTGGAGATAATCAGAGAAGAAAGTTTTAGGAGCCCTGAAGAAAGCTAAAGTAATTGGGTTTCTCAGGATGTTGAAACTTTAAATGAACTAGTTTGCAGAGCCTTGGAATGTGAAGTTTTAACTCTTATTTCATCCTTGGTTGTCCAAAGACTTGTAAGTTTTAATTTTAGAAGATTTAAAGAATTATTTTGAAACCTGAAATGCTAATTGGTCTCTGCTAATTTTTATTTTTATTTTTGTTAAACGTGGATCTCAGTATTTTAGTCAGTAGTAATTTCCCAGTTGCTTTTACTGATAGAATCATACTCAGACTTGTGTTGAATATTAATTCAGTCAGGAGAAGATTGTTTATAAAATTTTGTGTTACATGGAACAGCCTAGTCAGTGCCAGAAGCACTTTATTCTTTCAATTTAACTTTATCTCCTGAGCGATATCTTACTTCCTAATCTGTTAAATGCTGGATAAGTTTACAAAAAGCTAAAGATTTAGTTTTTCAGCCCCTTGTTCTAAAACTGACTGAAGTGAATAAAGGTTTTGACTTCTTGTAGTGCCTGAGCCTTGAGAAGGGTAAATCTCTAGATCTGTTTCTCGGTACTGTTAATGTAAGCTTGGAGCAGCTGAAGGCTGAATTGTTAATTTATTCTTGGCACACTGGAAATCCATGTTAATCCAAATGAGATTGGGAGTATTATAAATTCACCAGTACAAGTGTCAGTGTGCATGGGAGGGCTAAAGATTCCTTCTTTCTAAGAGTTTTTCGCAGATCTTTCTTGCAATTATTTAAAATAAACATTTCCAAACTTACCCTGCCTTTCTGGTGGTAGCAATTCCTAGATAGTAGACTTTAACCTTTCTTTAATTTATTTTGGCAGGGATGATGTTACAGCTCTACTGCATTTATGTTTCTTCTCTGTAGCCATTGCTGACGGATTTTGGTAGTTTTTAGGGATATATTTTCGTGAAGTCTGTACTTCTGAGGGATGGATGGACTCCTCGAAATCTGGAAATCTGAAAATAATTTTCCAGAACCTGCAAACAGTTCGGTGAAGGGACGATCTGGGGGTGAGAGGGAGTAGGGACTCGTCAGTACCTTATTTCCTTTCCCACAGCACTCAGGGGGACAAACCCAACATTTCCAGCAGATGCATTTTGTGCCTGTGCAAATCACCCCGTATTTCTGGGGAACAAAATGCACGATTTTTAATTTCAGATTAAGCGTTTTTAGTAGGTAACACTGTTGGCTCCTGACTTGCAGTCTGTGTGTGTGCCCTTTCAGTGACCAGCCTGTGCTCTCAACCTTAATTTACAAATCAAGCCCCAGCTCCTTTTCCAACTGTTCCGTTCCCCGACTGCCACACCACGTTTGACCTCCAGATGGTCCCATCTGTTGCAAATGTCAGCTCTCCCCAGCCTGCTCCCAGGCACTGATCTGAGAGAGCACAACTCCCCACGCTCTGTGTGATCTCAGGAACCTTACATGACGTGTTCTCAAGGTTACTGGAACACAGGGAGAAGGAATTGTGTGTGGCATTCAAAAAAATGAAGATAATGTAGTATGAAGACGCTGCCTTTCTCCTCTCATTCTTCCCACATGTTTTTGACCCACCCATGTTGCTGCAGTAGATTCTAAGAACTTAAATCTGGGCATCTCTGTACAGTTTTTATGAGAGAATAAAGCTGGAAAGGTACTGGCAGTGAAGCTTTGTTTGTTGTTTACAATGGGGACTGGCACAGTAACTTGTTAAAGTTGCCTTGATAGCAAGTAAAATTAGATTAAGAAAGGGAGCACCAATGATTTCTTTGAATGTACTTTTCATCTCAGGGGTATTCGAATTTCATGAATATGTATAATGTAACGCTGCAAAAGAGGGCAGCTAAAAATAAGCTTGGGCAGGAGTAAAGGTTAAAATAAATTTAACAGTACATTGTATATGTAAGAAATAATTTTCTGCAGTGCTGTGGGTTTATCTGTACCCTGCTCAAAAAAACTAATCTCTTAAGGTCTGAAGAATACAGAACATCTTGTACTGCTGACTGGGAGGGTTTTATGACTTCATTAAGGGCAGTGCTCACTTGTGTCCACAGTGCATCATTTGAAGCAATTATTGCAAATGAAACTTGGGAGTCTGAAATAGTGCAGGGATGTACTTGTTATTGTACTTCAGTTGGTGCTGTGGATCTGCAGAGGAGTGGGAGCTGTGTCCTTCCCATTTCCATCCTCGAGCAAGTGTAGAACAGGGAATATGAGAAAGGCAGAGCACAACAGCCCAAGTGTCTGGAGTACAGCTTGAAGTATTCCGTGGCCACTGGTGGCCCTATCCCTTATCAAACATCTTTCACAGTAACTGTGAATTGCTGTAAAATGAAATTCAGATGCTGCTGCTGTACAGTGTCTTCAAAAAGTATTTGTGGCTTGAGGAGTGAGGAACAGCACGCTGCTGAAATAAAAGTGGAGCCAGGATGAGTTTCTAGCTCATCACAGGTATGTGTTTTAAACAGCCCCAGGGTTTCACAGTCTTGTTTAAAAACAAACACAAGCAACCAAAAAAAAACAACAAAACAAAACAAACCAAAGTTTCTCACCCCAACCTGCTTCAAAAACTAATAATGGTAAAGATCAGTAGAAGATACAATCTCTTTGTTGAAGTGGCAACAGCTTTTAAATGCTCCTTTGACCTTTCCAGGTTTGTATTGGTTTGTGTTCTGAGTATGGGAAGAGATCTGCAGAGGAATGACTTTATCTGAAGGCATCTTAAGCCAGCATTGAGCCACTTTGAAATCCTGTATGCACCCTTGCTGCAGACCAAATTCTTTATTTTTTTTTTTTAATCAAGACCTTAACAGTTCTTTTTATTTATTTTTTTTGGCTATTACAATAGAAGGTCATATAAATAAAATGATATACTTATGGTGTCTGAAAGGTCTAAATGAGAGCCAAAGACAGCAGTGTTCTGATTGTCTTTATTCTAAATTCCCTGCCCTCAGTAAAGAGATGAAGTTTTTAATAAGAAGCTTGCTGTGTAGAGGTACAGAAAAGTATTGAACCTGGATAGGCTTCTATCAGATCGGTAATAAAAATCTTCACATCACTGGAGCTTGGTTTTCCATGAAAGTTAGCAGGAATTTACACCCTGAAACTGCACAGTGAAGTGAAGTACTGCAAGATAGGCTTTATGGAGATCAACCTTCAGATTTTGAGCCTGAAAATGGCCTGCTGAAGTGTTCTTGTCCATGTAAGAATAGTAAAGTGTCTCTTTCTTACCCCTGCCCAGTGTAAGGTTTGATTGTCCCTCTGCATTGTCAAAATAAACCTCAGAAACTGATGGGAGAAAGTAAACCATCCCAAAGCTTGGCTGCAGATGGCTGGTTCGGGACAGGACACCCCTTTTCATCTCTTCTAGGAAGTGTAGATTTGGGGGGAGTGGGTGACTGTTCCTGACTTCTGCCTCCTGCGTGGCACATTCTGGGGTAGAATTGATGCAAAGTATGATCAAAGAGCTGCTTTGATCAGTGCTTGCTTTACATATTTGCATCATAATGACACTTTCTTAGTGGCCTGCAAAGAGGATATTGTCTACAAAGACAATCTGAACCCTTCCACTGGTCTGCAGAGAGGGTATGATCCACTGGGTACTGTTGTAGTTAAGTTCCTCTGTGTATCCTCAGCACGAGGGCCCTCTGTGCTGAAAATGACGTTCAAATGTGATGCAAAATTTCAGTCTGAGGAAAGAAGCCCAAATTTATGAGTTTGTTCTGTGTGTATTTGCTTGTGTGCTCTGGGTTGCTTCTGTACATGTAATCATCCATTCCCATGATCTGTACATCCATCCATCCCTCCAGGTGGCTGCCTTGAAGTACATCCCGTCGGTTCTTCATGACGTCGAAAAGGTCTTTGATGCCAAGTTGCTGAGGTGAGCAGCTTTTGAACACCTCCCAGATGGCAGCAGTGAATCCTTAGTGGTCAGTTTAAGTCAACAAAGATCAGTGATCAAAAATCAGTTATGTCACTAATCAAGAGAGTGGTAGAACTCTGGGCACATGTTTTTGACAAGGAGTTGTCACCTGACTTAAATAACCCCAGAATTCATTATGGTGCCCCAATACTTACACATATTTTGGTGAATAACATAAGCAAGTGGAACAATCTATTTTTTTATTTTTCTCTTCTTTTACCCCCCCCCACTCCCTACAATAAACTCTATGCAAAAAAACAAATCTGACTTAAGCAGTTTGAAAAAAGGTCTTTGTTTTTCAGACCAAGATAAATTACCTTCACCACGCAAAAAAAAAGGAAAGTAATAAAGTAAATGGAAAGTAGTAAATGTCTGTAGTCATGGCCAAAATCTACTTCATCCTGGTCTTGTTTCTTTTGGAAGTTTTCTTCGTAACAGGATATTGGTCCCTTGTCAATATTTGTGATATACAAGTAAACATAGGTATTAAAAAGTGATAAATGTTTAGAAATACATGGCCTTTTGCTCTGCCTCTCCATCTTTGTTTACACGTGATGCATTTGGATTCATCTGCATGATATTTATGGCGCTTTTCCTTTACATGCAGCCAACTCCTGTATGAATTTTACACTTGCATTCCACCGGTGAAGCTCCAGAAGCAGAAGGTGCAGTCCATGAAGGAAATAGTCCGCAGCAACCTCTTTAAAAAGCAAGGTAAATATAAGATGCCTTCAAGGCTTCAAATAAACAGGTGTGAAAGCGTTGACTGGCTTGTGTTTTGTGCAATTCACCTTCGAAAGTGAGTAAAACGAGTGCCGAGGGGGTGTGAATGGCAGGAGTGTGAGCTCTGGAGAGGATCCCTCCCTTCCCCCAGGATGGCTGTTGTGCACAGTGTGGTTGCCAGCCTAGGGCAAGGGACAGGTGGGGCTCACAGGAACTCTGAGGGTGGTTTTCCTGTGATGCAGTGGCTGGGTGGGTGAGTTGTACATCCTTTAAACCCGTTTGAAGGTCTATAACGAAATGGGGAAATGAAGTGAAGGCAGCTGTTATGTAGGGCCTGGGGAGAGGACAAAAAATCTCATTGTGCTGGGGTATATTCAGCTGCAATGCAGCACTTACAGGAATTATGATGTTTCTTAACCTTCATCAGAACTTCGTGTCTCTCTCCACTCTCAGAGGTGTTAATGATACTGAAACATCTTTATCAGCCTTGTGCTTAGTTTTCCTTCAGATTCTCACAGAAAGGGAATTTTTGCTGAAGGAATTCTCTTAGAGAAGCCAGGTTTGCCATGGTTGACTCCATTTTCAGTGCCAAGTGTTCTGTCTCCTCTCTCATGGCCCGGATGACTTGTTTCTCCCTCAGCATCTCCTTGCCGTGCAGATAACCTTCAGAACCTGAAAGGCACAGACTACTCAGATGAATGTTGATGTCTGTTCTGTCAGAGTTTCAGTTTCTGACAACTTACAGATAATATTCCAGGAACTGGAGTGTACAACAGTGGGTAGCAAATAGATTGAGAGAGGATTGCTTTGCTCATCTCATTGTGTTGCCAGGAGAGTGATGCAGTTCTAACTAGCCCAGACAGATAAAAACTGCACTTTATTTTTAGACCTGTGTTGTATTCTGTGGAGACTGAAATATATATCTTAAACTTTAACTACAATTAGCTGTATCTGCTGTGTTTTGAGACCAGTATAAGCTTCTTGGAATAAAAAAAAAAAAAACAAACAAGCAAATAATGTAATTGGTTTTATTATTTAGATTCAATTTTTATTATTTTGACCTATGTTTATGTTAATAGTTTCACAGTCATCAGGTGTGATTTTTTTAAACTATATGCAAGATTCACAGTTGCTTGAATTGGTGAAACTTAAGTAGCTACAGCTGAGGTATCTCCAGACATTGATCTGAGCTGTTACAAGCAGATCCAACTAATTAATTTGCAAACAGTTCTAATTCTGTATTCACAGTTTTCTCTGGTAGTTGGCTGTATTTCAGTTTTACAAGCAGAGTCTGATATATCACTGCATTACCAGTTGCTTTTACTGCTGCTGCTTCAGAGATCAGAAGTGCCAGTCATAGTTTTATCTCTGGTGCTTGTGGTAACATTTAGACCAGAAGGAGAAATATTCTCTCACAAAACTGAAAGACTCTTGGGTTAAAATAATGCACTCTCTGGAACTCTTGAGATCAGAGAATTCAGTCAGTCACCCTGACTGTTGATAATACTGAGAAATTAAGTGTAAGCCCTAAACCTTTTTTTTTTTTTTTTTTGTTGGTTCAGTAATTTTTCTTGTAAGAAACTTGTCTCGCTGGAGCACAATTGTTACTGGTTCATGGATCAGGAGGGTTGGTCAGGACAGCAGATCTCATGCTTGTATAATGAGGAATAGAGCCCTAATAAAAATTCAGAAGGAAAATAGTTGAGCATGCAAGAACTTGTGTGCTCCACAGTTCCATCCACTTGTGTCTTCCTCCTTTCTTCCCAGTCCCTGTGTGCTCCAGAAGACACAAGAGTGGGGCTCTGGATTCCCAAAAAGTTTCCATTATATTCTGCTTGGTGTGGTGCTGGTTCCATGTGCTTAACAAGCCTTTGCTTTAGCTGTGGTCTGTTAATGCAAAATACTCTGTAAAGCTTTTATTGCCTGCAGATAAATAATAATAATAGATAGCTGGCTGCTTGTAAATGCAGCTTGTCTGATGTCTTGAAATATATAGCTGGTGTCTCGTGGAAAATGTCTGCCTCAGAATACATTGTGAATTCTAAAAAGGGTACATGTGGTTTGTTTCTGCATTTTTTTGGGGAATAATGAATAAGAAATTTTGCAAAGAGGATTTTTGAATTCTGGGGACCTTTCATAAAACCAATAAATGGTGGGTTTTGCATACTGCTGACCAGATAATTAATACATTTTAATTTTCCCCAGACAGGTAGTTAGTGGGCTCTTTTAGACTTGAATTTGTAGATTAAAAAATTGTATTGTCCAAAACCTCTCTGCTATTTTTTGCTCACATCAGACACTTGACAGCAAACCCAAGCAGCTGAGAGCATGAAGGCAGCATCTCCCACCCAACCCATGTGCCAGCCCAGCTGCTTCCCTCTGTATCCTGGATGTCTGAGAGTCACTGATCCAAACTTCACTAATAATGGATAGTTAAAATGGATCAATTTGATAACATGGCGAGATTAACAGCTTGTTCCTATGCCTGTGGTGATTATACATGCAAGATGTCTCTTAAGATGTTTTTAAATGTAATACTTGCTGTAAAATTATATAATAGTACTTAGATGTTCTTTTTGGAGGAGCCTGGGGAAATGGATTTTTTTTTAAATGTATTAGTTTGAAACAAGAGAAGTCCTCTGAAGCAGTTGTCCAAAACAGAGAAATCAAATCCAAGTCATTTTAAAATAAAGCTAAAACATGCCCAGTTTGTTTTAGCATTGTTGTGACATGTTGTTTTACTGATATCATGGCTTATGTCACGGTGCTGTTAACCACAGAGCATTCTTGATAACCAGAAAATATTCAGGTAAAGATTTTGTACTTCAGTATTTTGATGAAGTGACACAATAAATCAGCTTCCTTTTGTCACCTTAGGGTTTAGAATTGCTGTTATTTAGAGTTTTAAATGCCTGAACCTGAAGTTTTCCTTTTTTACTGTTTTTTTCCTGTACTGGGGTGGGGGCACACATACCCTTCCACCATTCTCAGTGCAACCCAGTCAGGTCAAACAGACTCTTGGAAATATATTTTCCCTTTCCTGGGACCATTCCATGAAGTTGTCATTCCTGTAACACAGCCTGGCCAGCTGAAAATGTTAATATTGCCTTGGTGGTGTCACCCAAATATCTGTTAACAAAATTTCTCTTTTTGGCAATGATTTTCATACCTTTCCTTTCACCCACCCTGCCCCTTCCTTGCTGATGGCAGAAAATCATCCTCATAACAATTGCAGGGTGGTTTTTATCTAACTAATACTGTTTGATTATCTGCAGTCCTGTTTTTGTTTTCAGCCTTTGGGTTGTAATTCCCTGAAAGGGAAAGTCCACAACGTGCTGAAGTGCAGGCACTGAGGAATGTGAAAACACCAATATGCAATTAAGTATCTTCAATATTACAGTGGTGTGAAAATGTTCCTCTCCTGTGCTATTGTAATACTGTGCACAGTAAATAGAAAACAAATCCCTTTTTTTTTTTTTTACATTGCTGTGGTTTAAAACAGAAAATTCCAAAGATGCTTTTTTGCTCTGCGTTTAATACAATTGGTTTTAAAATTAATTGAGTAAAGAATCAAGTGTGTGGAGGGTGTGGATGGGACCTGATTCATTAGTGCACTCGATGAGCTGGAAGGTGATTTACAGGAGTGAAAGCACATGTAGTCTATCACAGAACAGGATCCAGAGTGATGATTAAGGTGAGATTGCCAACAGTATCATTAACTAAAGTTCACATTTATCTGGAACAGGTAGTATTTTTTTCTGCCATGAATATGGAATATATTTAACTAAATTGCTAATTACAGTCAAGTCTATTAATTGGTACCTGTTTCAGATTATCCATTTTTTCCTGCAGATTTTAGTATTTAATCTGTTTCATTGTAGTTCATTACAGTTCCAATTTAATTAATTCACATCCATTCCCAGTGGTATTGTCTTTATAATTCCATTGGATTCCATATATTGATATTCTATTCTTTGACCCACTGATATTCACAGACCTGTGAAATCATGGAAAGCTGTTTTCAAGAAATCGTTAAAAAAAACAAAAAAAAAAACCACACAAAACCAGTGACATTTGTCTTTATTAAATAAGTTACATGTGAACCTAAAGTTGGAAACCTTGGGGGCAAGCTGAATTTATTGGTGTGCATTCCCAGGTTTTCACTGTAGACTCATGGAATAGAGTGATTTCATCAGACAGGCTCCAGGGTCCTGCCGCTGTGATTGATCTGCAGAGGCCCCACAGCACTTCCAGAAGCCTTTAAATTGCGTTGCCAGGTTTTTTGTCGAGGCATTGATTTCTTGTTCCCACTCTGTAACTGTAACACAGCTCAGAGAGGTTCTGGTAGTTCAGGTGTTTGAGTGGCTGAGTGGAGGAAGATGAATGTTTTTGCTGCTTGGGCGCTTTCCCCATAACATTTAGGAATGTTCTAACAGGATGTGTGAGCACAGGAAGAGACTTTTATGCTGTTTTGTCTTAAGACTATTATGTCCTTTTTGGCCAGAGGACAAGAAATCTTCATTTTTGACACTTTCCTTTCAGATCACTCGATATTTTTTTTATTTTAAAATCCCAGAGGGCAAGAAATGGTTTTCTTGTCCTGTACAAGCACCTCTAATGGGATCTGAGAGTCTCATTTATTATGTAAGAAACTGCCTCCTGTCATAAATCCTTCTCTTTTTATAGTGGTGTGTCATGGATTATTCTCTCTCTCTTCTGAAAAAGTTTGTTAGAATTGCTTAATTTCTTTGTGAAACACTTTGAGGCATCACTGTTGTTGGGTTGGTTTGTTTGTTTTTATGCCAATATTCCCTCACCTCTCTCCATTTTTGAGAGATCAACAAATCAAGATATAGCTACATACAAAGTCACAGGGAGAATTTATTGTGCTTAGTGTTGCTGATTTTATAACATTTGGAGGTAGATGCTCCTTCTAAGCTGGCCATGAAATATTCACTGGCATGATGCTCAAAGTCAGCCTTGGGAGAACT